GGCTTGGGCTCCCATTTAACGAGAAACAGCTCCCCACCTCATGGTTGACTCCTCTGGGTGAGCTCAGCTTCTGGATCTCTTAGTCTGACCTGCTGTATAGCATTGTGATCTGGAGATTTTCTGCATGGCTTTAAGGACTCTAGTTTGCATCAAAAGAAGCGTGACCAGCAGGTTGAAGGAGGTGATCCTGCCCCTCCATTCTGCTCTTGTGAGACCTCACTTGGAGTATTGTGTGCAGTTCTGGTGTCCTCAACATAAAAAGGACATAGAACTGTTGGAACAAGTCCAGAGGAGGCCACGAGGATGATCAGGGGACTGGAGCACCTCCTGTATGAAGACAGGCTGAGAAAGTTGGGGCTGTTCAGCCTGGAGAAGAGAAGGCTGTGTGGAGACCTCATAGCAGCCTTCCAGTATCTGAAGGGGGCTATAGGGGTGCTGGGGAGGGACTCTTTATTAGGGACTGTAGTGATAGGACAAGGGGTAATGAGTTAAAACTTAAACAGGCAAAGTTTAGATTGGATATAAGGAGGAAGTTCTTTCCTGTGAGGGTGGTGAGGCACTGGAATGGGTTGTCCAGGGAGGTTGTGAATGCTCCATCCCTGGCAGTGTTTGAGGCCAGGTTGGATGAAGCCTTGGGTGACATGGTTTAGTGTGAGGAGTCCCTGCCCATGGCAGGGGGGTTGGAACTGGATAATCTTCAGGTCCTTTCCAACTCTAACTGTTCTATGATTCTGTGATTCTATGATCACCTAAAAATTAAGGAGTATTAAAAGTATTATTTAATAGAAGAAATCTTGTATCACCACCTAAATATGAATCTGATTTGTGGTTGTGCAAGTTCTGGATGTGTCTCTGGAAACCGAAGTTTGGAGTTTAAATCAGGCAAATATTTCTTTAAATTAGCGAAAGGAGAAGAACTGGATATTTTAAGGCCACAGTCACAGGCTTCTCCAGTTATAATGGTGAAGAAAAATATCATTTAGTTTAGAAGTGATTTAAGCAGTTGCTCGAAGTGCTCAAACTGTTACTGACAAAAGCAGAATCCAAACAGAAGTCAGTGCCAAAATGATTAAAATGGTACTCAGCCTGGCGTTGCCCTGTAGGAATTCTTTAAGACCTGTGTTAATTAGGTGTTGCTAATTGTGAAGCTGTCATGACTGCTGCATTGTGGCGAGTGTAACCAGGCTGCTATGTTTGCAGTGAGAGCAGTATGGAAACTGTGTGGAAGTTGTATGGAAAAAGTAGGTACAAGGCAAGAAGAATTTGGATCTTGTGACTATTGACAGGGGGAGGGCTGTTTGTCAAACTCTCTCCATTTAGCAAATAAAATCATCAGTGATAAATCTGTGTTTTTCAAGTTGGCAGAATGTTAAGCAATGAGCCATAAAATATGCATCTACTGTTTATACATCCTCTGCAGCTTCCTGATGGTGAGAGAGTGTGGGCAAAGAGAATGTCTTGTTCTTTTGATTTATTCTTCTTTGCTCATTTCTTGGTAATATTGCATTTTGTTCAAATTCTCATTAAACCCAGATTTTTGAATGAAGTCAGTGTTGTTAAATTAAATATCCATTCTTGCCTGAGCTCTGTGGGGTGCTCATGAGTTAAGCAGCACATCAGTCCATCCAGCTCACTGCAATGCTAAGTTGGTTTCTCCATATATTCATGGCCTGTGATAGGCTTGAGAAAAACACATGCTATAACTTTGAATTTTAAGGGGCTTTCCATTCCAGCTGTCCGGAACAGCTGCGAGTGTGATCCTTCCCAGCAAGGGAAGTGTGAGGAGGGGCTTGGTCTCAATTTCAGTTCCCATTAAATCTTGCTGAACTGCCTGTCAGCGTTATGTGTTTTCTGTGTTTGCTCGCAGGCCTGTGTACAGATGGAAATATGTACTCTTCTGTCCTGGACCTTCAGAGAGATCAGTGTATCATGTGCAGTCTTCACTGGGCATATTAAAATGCAATGGAAAATGCAGGTAGTGAGGAGGAGAAGCTGAAAAATAAGGCGATTTTTTGAGTTATTAGCTTGGCAATTCTTTTGAGATGGTTATACTGTGTGATTCTTTGTGCTGGATATTTCTGGGAGGCCCCAATCCAGCATATGATTTTCACGTTGTCAACCATAAACTGTGAAACTCTGCGTGCTTGTAGTTGAGTAAATGTTTAAACGATTTTCTGATTTGAGGCCCAAATAATATGGAAAGTCTTTGTGGTACAGGAGCTAAAAGGTGCACAACAAGTTATTTTGCTTTCCCCCTATATAAGGCATAAGCTTATTCACATTTCTCATTTATAATTTTCAGTAGCTGATATATGATTTTCAGGAGGTGATGGAAATTGTGGTTTAATTTACAAATATTTCTTTTTTTTTTTGTTAAATGATACATGCATTCATAGTGATAAAGAGGAGCTGGAGTATACTTAGGAGTGATTATACATCAGGAAGGTAATGGAAGGTTTCACTTTTGTCCTTCTCTCAAAGTAAGTAAAGGCAAATAATGTGTTGCCATTGATTAGGGAGTATAAGGAATTAAAACAGTTGTTTCAACATAACATTTTCATTGCATGAGCCTGAATTCTGGCCACTGTTACCACATCACACAATACTCTGCTCTTCTCATAGTCCTCTTCATTCCAGCAGGGGCAAGGTACTTGTCAATACAATTATGGCCATCAGAATTTAGCCTGGAAACCTAAAATCTGGGAAAGCACATTACATGAGAAAGAAAATGAAAACATGTCAATGGATGTGTGATCAAATGGTACTTGCATTAAAAAGTTGTTCAATAATATCGATATCCATTACAAGAGGAACAACATATATTCTGTTATCATAGAACTTTGGAAAAACGTTCTGCCTTTGGCTTTCAGTTTATTTATAACTAATACATAATGAACAAGTATACATGTAAGAATGAAAGTGAAGTAACAAGCCTATTTATATAGAACTTCAGGGTAAACCAATGCAACCAGAAAGACGAGTTTCAGAATCCTAAAAGCAAACTTGAAGGTTCTCACTGTCAAGAAATACAATGTCCAAAATATTTGCAAAGAGTCTTTAATCATCCTTGTGCAGGTCTAGGTATGGCAAGCCCATAATTAGAGTGAGAAGAGATGGAGCTTTTAAGAGAGACACTTGAAGGCCTGCATGATGAAAGCCAGTGTGCAGCGAGAGGCTGCACTGATTGTCTGTGTGGGCCCTTGTTGAAGAAAGGAGCAGAGACAAGAGAAATCAGGGCACAGATTCATTAGAAACTCCGCACAGGGTACTGGCTCAGGCTCTTTCCCCCTCTGTTATCATTTACTATCTTAAGGACTACGGTGTGTTTAGCTCTGTTTGGGCAGAGAGCTTTGGTGAGCAGTTAAGGTAAATAAGTACATGTGAGTGTCTTTTTGCTTCACCTGTTAACTGTTGCTTAGCCCTTAAGGTCCTGATTTTATAAGTGAACTTTACTTGAAAACAGTGAGGCATGTTTAATGTTCTCTTTGTTGACCTTCCTCAGATACCATCCCAACTCTGGTTCCATTGTCAAATAGATATTGATTCTACCCACAAACTCATTTTTCAGATAGCTCTCTTCAGCTCCCTACTGCAGGTCTTTTTTTCCTTCCAAGGTGCAAGCATTTCATTTTTAGCTTAAGGTAAATGTAAGTGATTATTAACTTGTGTTTTCAAAATGGAGCATTTGGGATGGAGGAAAATGGGAGCTTGCCAAAACTCCTTGTCCATGCCACCAAATGGAACAAGTCTTTAAACTCTCAAATTTAGCACCAAATATTTCAGCAGAAAGAGGAAATATGATGGCTTGGAATGTGAGCCTGGGCTCAGAACTGCTTCAACGGCTCTTAGCTCTGGCTAAGTAATTTCTTAATCACTTCTTAATTGCTGTTAAAAGCATGGCATTCTCCCTCCTTTGGAGTAACAAGGGATCCCGTCTTCTCATGTCTCCTCTGTTCCCTGTTCCAGACCCTGTGGAATTGAACCATGGAACAGAGATAGAGGAAAACCTTGTAGAATTTCTCTCCTCCAAGTGTCTGTCCTGCAATTTTGCTTACTTTTAAAATATACAAAGGAAGAAGTGGCACTGAGCTTAAACTAGCTTAGTTTGCTGGAAGACTGCTCTAATGAGAGGGGTGTTGCTTTGCTTTAAAGTCAGCAAGTATGGTAAAGGCACGCTTCAAATTCAAACTATCCATGCTAAAGGATACACTCCACGAGTGTATCACTGCATCTCTCCTGTCTCCTGAAGTTTATCCTCCTCTGGCTTTACAACTAAGATCACAAACAGGGAGCTCACATGGTACTGAAAGCCCAGGATCTGAGTCTGCATGGACTTGGGCTCTTTACAGCAGAGAAGGGGGTCACCAGCTTGTTATTGCCAGCTCAATTTTGGTGTCATTTAGGCAGCTGAAGAGAAACAAATAGGCCATCGATCAGCCTAGCAACAGCCTGGGGCCCCTGTACTTTAATTATGTGTGCTCCTTGGACCAAATTTATCCCTGTTGAAACAGCATCAGCTTAATGAAATTCCACAATGGAGGAATTTGGCCCAATGTGTTTATACTCTCTGTTACTAATACATCTAATACTGTTGCAAATAACATTTTATTTTTGTCTCTTCAGCTTTCATAAGCAAGCTCAACCTCAACGAGCTTTTGGTGCCATTTCAAGTAGTGAAGAGAGGTGAAGAGAACTTTTCCTGTTAGGCTTTATTATAGGAAGAAGCTTTAAGCAGTTGTTGAAATACATTCATCCAGCACAGGTGATCTCTGCCAGCACAACATTGGAGCTCTGTATTTAGCCTAAAATGGGGTGCTTTGCTGGATTTACAATGCAAGCTGTGATTATCAGTAATGCTGCTGCTGTGTGTTCCCTCTGTGCACACTGGAGTAATCCACTAAAGTCTACTGTAAGATCTGTCCATTTCTGGATGAGGCTGATGTGGGACCTGTTCCATCAAAGCCCGGCTGCCACCTTCACCCTGCAAAAAGGGTTGCTAAGAGACTGGAAGTCAAAATATGTCAAGAGTTAGGAGTAAATGCGACTTATCTCTTTCTCAAGCAAAGGTGTGCTATTAGTCGGGGGGTGCACGAGGCATTTCTTCAAGGAAGCTTCTGCAGGAGGAGCCTGTTTGCGCACATGGTGCCAAAGGGTGCAATTCTCCAGCACGGTCTCCCAGCTGGAAACTAATGGACCAGGGAGAAGAGTCAGTGTGAGGCGGAGCAGTTGTTCCTCTCTTTGCAGCAACCCATGCAGCGAGGGTGAGCTGAGCTCTACAGTCTCCAGCAGTGCTCCCAACCCCTCACCGCAGCAGTGGGAGCTGCTGAACAGGAGCAGGCAGTGGCCAAATCCCTGTGGCTGACAGCTTCCAGGGAAAATGGAGCGTCAGAGGCCAGGGTGCAAAGCTGCAGCTGCTGTCCTAGCCTGGTCCTTGCTCTTCTCTGTCCTCCAAACCACCAGGGTCAGAGCTCTGCAGGGATCCCCACCGATGCCACAGTTAGAGGATGTCATCTTGGACAACATCAGCTGGGCTGCAGAGGAAGCTCAGGGCAATGAATCCTCAGAGCACGCGTTCTTCTCTCTGGATTATCAGCATGTCCAAGTCCCCTTTGAAATCACCCTCTGGATCATGCTTGCATCCTTGGCCAAAATAGGTAAGGCATCTTGAGAAGATGAGGAGGGACAAGGGTCTCTGTGGGGATGGCGTGGGCAGGAGTGGCCACTGCTTCACCGGTCTTGGAGCCTGAGATAACATGCCAAGTCCTCGGGATGCAGAGATTGTGTGCCAGACATGGTGCACACATAGAAAATAAATACTCAGTTGCATTTGTGGCTAGAAATGATGTTTTCCATTTGGAAGTTCACACCTGTGCATGCTGTTGCTGTTAGTAGGAAGAATATTGGGCTTTCTAGAAGGAATTTTATGTAACTGCAGTATGTACCGAAGTGTGCATTCATCTCAGTTAGCTTGCGAGCTACGCTACGTGCAGGTTGTCCACTGACACCTTCATCTTCAAATGAAAAGGCATTGTTCTTAAAAACCTTGAGTACTTGTGGTTGTCTGCATTTCTCTCTAGCATTGGGTGTTGCACAAGGCTGACTCAACTGGACTGTTTTAAATGTTGCCCTTAGCTTTAGGTGTTAATGATTAAGGAATACTAAAAGTGGTACCATTTATAACTGAGAATGCTTTTTGTGAGTTTTTTTTATTTTTAGTGTATAGAATCTGTATTGTTTAAAATTAGCAGTTGCTGTTTATGTAGCTGCTGAAGATGGGCCTGTGAGCTAGATTACATCATAAGTAATTCAAAAAATGTTTTTATTTATGCAGATTATTTTGTTTTTCTATTTGTGTATTACCTAAAAACATATCTTTAACCTTATGCCATGATGCAATGCAGGCTGAACCAACAGTAATTTTAGAAAGTTTGGTATTTTCAGGGATCTTTCAGATCTTGCAGCAAATTATTGATTGAGTGACTCCACCTTAATTGTGGACATCGATTACAACTACCCTAAGGTGTAGCCTGCTGAAGGTGGGAGCATGTTTGGTGCTATTTAGCCAGTTTGGGCTGGTGAGATAATATGGTTTTCATCTATCTGTCCCTTTCCAGGGTTTCATCTCTACAACAAGCTGCCTTCTGTTGTTCCCGAAAGCTGTTTATTGATATTTGTAGGACTCATAATGGGGGGGATCATCTATGGTTTAAACGACAAGTCACCACCTGTTATGGACAGCGACATCTTTTTCCTGTACCTCCTGCCACCCATCGTCCTTGATGCAGGTTACTTCATGCCCAGCCGTCCCTTTTTTGAGAACATTGGTACAATCCTCCTCTATGCGGTCGTGGGGACAATATGGAATGTGTTTGGGATCGGCTTCTCCCTGTACGGGATCTGTCAGGTGAAAGCCTTTCGCCTGCAGGATGTGTCATTGCTCCACAATCTCCTATTCGGCAGCCTGATCGCTGCCGTGGATCCTGTGGCGGTGTTGGCTGTCTTTGAAGAGATACACGTCAATGAAAAGCTGCACATTTTGGTCTTTGGTGAATCGCTTCTGAATGATGCAGTGACGGTGGTAAGGATTAGCCTGTACTTTGAGTATTTAATGTTCAGATGAAGGGTGGGCTGGTGCTGAGAGGTGGGATGTGAGATCTGCAGAGGGAAAAAGCATCAATGGTCTCTTCTAGCAGAGGGCTTCTGGTCCACTTCTCTAGGCTGAGGTCCTTGAAGCTCTCAGGTGAACATCTCTTTAACTGCATAGAGATGTAAATGCGTGTGACTGCCACAGCACTCCCGTGGCAGGAACCTGACTGCCAGAGAAAGATGTTGACTCCACAGTGTCACATATCCCAGCAGCGTATTTTAGTGTCACTGCTACATATGGCCATGTCTGGTTAATATCTTGTTAACATCTGGTTTTCATGTTTTTCACCCAGGTACTCTACAAGCTATTTCGAGCTTTCTGTGAAATGCCCACCATCAAAACTGTGGATGTTTTTGCTGGAGTTGGAAAGTTCTTCGTGGTTGGGCTAGGAGGAGTCCTAGTAGGTCTTATTTTTGGGATGACCGCTGCCTTTACCACGCGATTCACCAAGGATATCCGTGTCATCGAGCCACTCTTTGTCTTCCTATACAGCTACCTTTCTTACCTCACTGCTGAAATGTTTCACCTTTCAGGGATTGTGGCGTAAGTACATCCCAGCATCTCATCTGTCCAGGAAAGCTTTCTGGCTATATTTACTGAAAAGTAACAGAAAAAGATTGAAGTTCGCTTAGTTGGAAATCTCTGTATAGCAGTGAACAGTGAGTATAAGAGCCTGTGGAACAGATGAGAGGTATAACCCCATTTCACACATAACACATCGATGGTAATAGCGACAAGTCACAAGCAATCCAGATGATTCCTGCTGGGCAAGCTTCTGATGGCTGATTGCTTTATGGAGGTTATTGAGGAATGTTTATTGGAGCTCCATGGTTTTGTTTGGAAATCCTGGGCATTCAAGCAGTGAGATGTCTAGTAGATTTACCAGAGCCAGAAGAGGCTTTCTTGGCATATTTTGTTATTTTTTCCATGTTTGGCCTAGCCAACACCAACATTTGAAGAGCTGCAAGGAGTATTTAATCAACTCCTCAGCCAAGTTTGGTCTTGGATAATAATGTTAATGGTTGTCAAAGAAAGCTCACCTTGGAAAGCAGAGACAGATGAGAAACAGAGTGATTCAATCATGGTTTCTGTGGGCTGGTATCCACTGAATTTGGCTGTCCTACTTAAACTAAGTCAGCTGGCACTGAGGATCACAACCAACTATTTAATATTTCCCAAAAGACAGACTGCATGGACAGCTACAGTGTAAACAACTGTAAATCTGATAATAATGAAGATAAACCATTCCTATATCTTGCAGATTTTGTTTCCTCGAATGGTTAATAGGAGCAATATCCTAGCATTACTGAAAACAATTCTAGCTCTGGGAATAAGTAAAAGAAAGCCTATTTATAGGAGTGTAAGACAGAACAGTGAAATAAACATGCTGCATAATCATCATGGAGCAGAAAACGTTCAATCCTAATGGTGTCTCCTTCTATCAATCACAATCTACTATACCCATTAGGAACCCATTTTCTATTCTTTTGAATAATTCATTGTCTCTAAAGCAAAACAATTGCAAAGGCAGCTGATTCCTGCACTGCTGGTCTTATAATTGCCAAATTATAAATGCTTCTTTTATATATCTTGATTTGAAACGATTCATTCATTTGTGACCAGGGAATACTGCATTGTAAAAAGCAGATCTTGGCAGTTTGTTCTTTGAAAAAACAATCTGATTGCCAAAAAAGATCAATTCTACATAGTCAAAAATATAAAAAATAAATAAAATCTGTGAATGCAGCTCAGTCTGCTAAACAGCTCTGCACGTGTGTTTTATCTTCATTTGCTCTTCTTTTGGTTTTATTTTTTCCTCTTGCCTTAGTATCAGTGTCCATCTTTGAAGCTGTGACAAGACAGGTCAAGTTTATTCCTTCTCTATGAATCTGGTGTGACCCCCCCCATCCGTTCATGAATAAGTGCTCCCAAACCACAGCTCTGGAAGTCACTTACCCAGAAATGCTTATTGGATTTCTTACTTCTTATCTGGACCTGTTTTACCCACTATTTGTTGAGGCAGGAACAGAAGAATTTATTATTTTCTTTTTAGGCCGTGCTTCAATCTCTGTTACTTCTGGCTCAGTGCTTTGTGCAAAGTGGGTCACTCTGAAAAGGATAAATCAAAAAAAGACCAGTTTAAGGAAATTTTTAGGCATTGATACATTTTTCTCAGGACATGAAAGAGGTGCACTTAAGCTACATTAGACAAAAAAAGTCTCAATGCTGGATAAGATGGAATCTCTTTCCCAAGCAAGAGTATCCTGTTCCTCCTGAGTCTAACCTTTCATATCCCATGCCCTTCCTGCAAGTCCTCTCCCTGAAGTCCAGCTTTAATTTCAGACAAACTCAAATGTTTTGGTTTTCCTTTTCCTTCAAAACAGGTATGGGTTTATTTCATGGCAATAAGGAAAAATAAATAAGAATTATTTTAAAGAGAAAGGAATAGAAATGTGTGGGTTTATTGTTGTTTGGGTTTTGTTTGTTTGGGTTGGTTTTATTTGTAAGTTTGGGTTGTTTTGTTTGAATCTAAAGCCCAGTAATCAGTAACTTGGAGTTGGTGGAAGTGCATTTTCATTTGAAAAAGTGTTTTCTTTTCCTTTTTTTCCAACCACATATCTGATAAGTATCTTTCCATAATGGTGTTGCTAATTTTCCTAGTGCTTTAGAAATGAATGTAGAGCAGAAATGAATAAAGTGGTTTTCCATTCCTTTGTCTTGGTCCAAGAATAGATGCTGAGTTGCGGCAGGGAAGATGTGGTAGAGATTCACTGATGAGCTAAGAAAAGAGCCATTATTCTGCTTCTGTTAGCAGCAGTACAGGTCAGGAGCAGCAATGCAGTGGCCAACACTGTTTTCCTGAAATAGCTATGGAAGACAGGACTGGGGACTTTGGTTTCATACAAGTTATAAGCCCACAATCAGAGCACAGTCAACTCTGCCCATATGAAAACTCTTACGTTAGGTGGAGCTGGGGGGAGACCCTGTTTTCCATCAAAGCCCAGATAAAGCAAAGAATCTTTTTGGGGAAATTCTGGAGTGAAATCATAGAATGGTTTGTTTTGGAAGGGACTTTCAAAGCTTACCTAGTCCAATTGCTGCAATGAGCAGGGACATCTTCAACTAGATCAGGTTGTTTAAAATCATGTCCAGCCTGGCCTTGAATGTCTCCAGGAGCAGTGTCTCTACCACCTCTCTGGGCAACCTGTGCCAGTATTTTACCACCCTCATTGTAAAGAATCTTTTCCTTGCATCCAGCCTGAATGTCCCTCTTAGCTTGAAACCATCACCCCTTCTTCCTCTTGCAACAGACCCAGCTAAAATGTCTTTCCTAAAAAAAAAAAAAAAAGTCTTTTCCTGCTAGAAATCATTCTTATAGGCCCCTGTTTTTGTGGCGGTTTCACTGCAAAGCAATAACTGCATGGCTGTTTTCTCAATAGCTCTTAACTGAGAAGATAAATTCTGGATAATGTGCTGCAGAGGTCACTACCTATCTTAACACCTACTTGCATCTATGTAGGTCACTTAACTGTCCTGGTCACAGCTAGTGCTTAAAGTCAGTCTGCCAGACCCAGGGGCGCTTCTGCAAGCCGAGGACCTACCTCTTTGTGCACTTGTCTGTGTGACATAACAAAGAGAATTGCCATGAAGTCCCTTTGAAAGCAATTTTAAAATTAATAAAACTTCGTGTAGATGACCTTAAAATTATCAATGGAAGTCAGGTCTTGGAAACTTAAAAGTCGTTTTGCTATTTCTGGTACAATATTTAGAACAAAGTGTTTCTGTCCAGGTTGAAATATAAAAAATGGAGCTTTGACTCCTTGAACACTCAACTGTTTTGATCCTCTAAGATTGCTGGCCTCAGAATGTACTGATTTGCAAAGCTGATGAATTAGGCTATCCCCATGTACCCTGTAACTTGAAGAACCAATTATCCATGAAAAATTACAAGGCAATTGCAAGATTAGAGTTTGGCAAAGTTAAAATGCTGAAAGCAGTGTATTATGATGGGAAGAGTATTGTTAATTGTAGGTACTGCTGTGTGACTATGATAAATGCAATAGGCAGTGGGTCAGTTACCTGTTAAAAACCAGATTTGGACAGTCTTGGCAACATTTATAGTTTCTATTGTCCTGGTGTTCCTCGTGATTTCATTGGACTGATGTAGGAGGTGAATCGCTACACTGAGACATCTGCAAACATGTAAAACTTGATGAAGACCTTCTTTTTTTTATACATGACAATGTGTTAGTTTTATGTGCTCAAATATAAATATTTATTGTTTCATTTTTCTCAGCATCATTGCTTGTGCCATGGGCATGAAACGTTACGTGGAGGCCAACATCTCTCTGAAGTCTCACACCACGGTCAAATACTTCATGAAGATGTGGAGCAGTGTTAGTGATACCCTCATCTTCATCTTCCTTGGAGTTTCCACCATTGGAGAAAATCATGAGTGGAACTGGCCATACATTTGCTTCACTGTCATTTTCTGTCTTGTTTGGAGAGCACTAGGTATGCTATAATCATAGGGGTTTTTTGTTTGGTTGGTTTGTTTTAATATATATTATTATTTATGTGAGTGGAAAATGTAACTCCATTTAATGAGAGAATGCTCCTGCCCCCATCATCCTTTCCTGCTCGCTCTGTATGTGTGGTTATCCCAGATGTGAATGCAAAGACTGAAGTAGGAGACCCCAGCCAATGCTTTCCTCTTCTACTACTTGCTCAATAGCAACTCTTGCATTTTACTACAATTTCCTACTCTGTCCACTCACCATAGACAACACTGGTGCTAAGCAGAGATTCTCATGACATCTGTTTTGTAGATACCTCTGTCTTAGATCCTCTTTTGATTGCTATGATCTCTTCTCTTGTTTCAGTGCTTATTAGAACCTTGGTTTCCTCACAGTAGAAGGGACACTGTAAGTATGTAGCTTGGGATCAGAGAGCCGTGTAAAATCATGAGGCCTCTGACAGCATATTCTGAATTGCAGAGATTTAAGTGATTTAATTTGTAGCAAGTTTGTGTACAGCAGCGTCCTTAAATGGGAAACTGGAGGAACCTTCTAACAGCTGTCCCTGGAGATGCTGTTCTGCTTTACAGAAGAGCATCTACCCTGCTTAATGCTGGGTAGATGAAAATTGGGACCTGAAATGTGAGGATGCTCCTGCTCCAACTCAAGAACCTCAGATAATGAGAGAGAATGACAGAACTGCACAGAACCGGACAATTGCTGAGGTTGGCAGGAACCTCTCAAGATCATTGGGTTCAACCCTTACTTAACCAGGATCAGCTAGGCAGGACTGTGTCCAAACAGCTTTTGATTATCTTCTTGGAGGAGACTCTGCATGCTCCCTGGGAAACCTATTGCAGTGTTTGACCAATCTCACAGTGCCCAAGATTTGGTGATAACAAGAGCACAAGAGCTGTGTATTAAAATATTTTCCTGATAATTGTGCCTAAAGATAATTTTCTTGATCACTTGCAATGAAAACCTGAGTCCTGGTCCCAGAATACTCTGGGATCCTATTTTCCTGCATTGCAAATGACCAGAAAAACAGATAGGCTACTTCGTGTCCCCAGTTGCATCTTTGCACTGAATTGGTGCTTCAGAGAGACCGTTTCTCTGTTGCTTCTTACATTGTGCTGTCACCAAAGCGAGTGCAATGCCTGCCTTCCCATTTATGGAAGTTTTTCTATATTAACTATATCTGCAAGTATAACAGCACACATTTTGGCAAAGAATTTGACAGCTAAAACCCATTCAACAGGATTTATGCTTACAAACCACTGAGTCAGAGTGAACTCAAATTTGATAGACACTTCAAAAAATTGTTTAAATAGGATTGGCCGTGATTAGCAAGACATAGCAGAATGGGTTTCATTAGCTGTTAATACATGCCAAGGTTTGTTTTAATAACTGCACCATAAATGCACTTGGAAACATGCTTATTAGTTGTGTGGACGTTCAAATGTTTTATTATGGTAAAGTGGTTTTCTCTAAATTATTTCCTCAAGTTCTTACTTTGATTTTTCTTAGTTCAAAAAATTCTTCACTGCAAGACATAAGGAACATAATAACATCACCAGATCCCCTGGCTCTCTAAACACAGCTCCTCTGATTGCATTCTCAAATTATGCAGCATGTTATTAGGGAAGAGCTCAGTGCTGCAGCTAGGGAAGAAAACCCTTTTTCCATTCAAAATCTCCCTTGACTTAAATAAGAACACACAAACCAGGGCTGAAAAATCATCTTGCACATTTGATTCCGAGCAGGGTGTCCCTTTTCCTCAGCACCTTGCTGGGGAGCCATAGATGTGCTAGGAGGGCATGAGCTGGGTAGGGTAATGCACAGGCTGGGCACTCCTCTCTTGGAGGTGGTGGCTGAGATGAGAGCCTGACCTTCTCAGACCCATCTGGCAGCGATGGACATGCTTGACACACTGATCCAGAAATGGGAGGCACTCATAGAGTTTGCTTGCAGGAATCGGGGACTTTCAGATCAGCAATACCGGGGTTAGTGCCTGAGCTGTGATCTTGTCCTCTATTGGACCCTCTTTGTGCCGTTAAACAAGAAATGATTCTGCCGAAGCCCGAGACCTGGAATTACTTTGATGTAGGAGAGATCAGCTAAAAAGCAAAATGCATTAATCGCATTACAGCGCTAATATTCACCATTATCCAAGCACTGGGGGATTTCCTTCTGTGCTTTCCCAAGGTCTATCTCCAGATGAAAATATATTCTCCTCAAAATGATGAATTGTATGTCATGTCTTGGAGAAAACTGGCCTTGAGTTAGTTTAGGGAATGCTAATGATAATTTATGAGGAATGATTAAATTAGAACAAAGGCCATGATATCAGCTGAAGTAAATTTTGTTCCTTTAAGTCATCATCACTGCCTGAGCTTTACAGTAGCCGCAGATGTGAGCTAAGGTATGCTTTATTTAAAGTTAAAAAGAACCTTGAAAATGGTGTACTTCCCCTCTGCTGGTCTGGATATGAGCTCCATGGAGATCTGGAGATGGGGAAGGTGTTGCAAGGTTAACTGAGTTTGCTATTCCTGAAACATCCCCAGCTTTTTGTTTTCTTCAAACCGGTCTGATGTGCAGTCAGATATTTTTAGTTGTATGTGTGTGGGAAGCTGTTTGATATGTATATTACAAGTGCACCCATTTTGAAGTTTATTTCTTCTCCAAACACCCTTTAGAAAAGCAGCAGTGGTGTGGATCCAGCTAATTCCTAGTTAAATTCAGTGTCAGTCTGTGTTGTCAGTTCTAAAAATGGCCATTAATCTTCAGGAAATAAGATGTTTATCATATCTGTTGGTATTAGATCATGGCTCACTGATTTAAGGCCCAACTTTTTGTACCTTTCTGTATCTGTTTATGTATTTACAAATGACCATAAATTACATCAGTTATTGCACCACCTTATGTCTTCTTAAGTTCATACAACATAAACCTTTGAGTGGAAGATTTGTGAAGAAGCAACATTTACACAGCAGAATAGAGCTGCTTATCCAAGCTGCTGCTTGGAAACTTTTGGAAATTGGAGGGTAATCTGTGGCTAAACTGTTGATGATCATTTGCCTTGAGAACATTTATAATCTGAGCAATTTACTCATTCGTTTGCACCAATTAGAGTAAATCAATATTTCAATTCAGTTTTTAGAATCTGGTTCTGTGTCATTTTATGAGTGAAGTTTTGGCTGTCACATGGCTATAGAATTGCCCTAAAAACTTTCATTAACCACCATCAAAATAAATGTGCTAATATATCCTATGTTGCCAATAGTTCTTGTTTGTTCAGTATTTAGCTGATGTTTAACACCGAGTCACCAGGTAAGGGGTATGTTCTGGGATCAGTGGTCATTGGAGCAGGATGAGAACACCCCTGCAGAGTTCAGAGTCCTTCTGAAGGAAGCTCTGGTTTCCCAGCTGGGCTGTAATAAGCACAAGGTTGAGGTAAAAAACAAGAGAATTTGCTACAAGATGAGCTACCTAAAATTACATTTTCTAGTAAAATTCATAGTTGTGCAAACTCCCCAAACTGTGGCCAGTCAGTGTTGGTGTAATACCCCAAATCAGAAATGCATCAGGGATCAGTTTGTAAGTCGACAAATCAAACACAGGCCTGTTGGACCAGGGTGGAAGAAAAGCGCTTTCCCAGTGGCACACCGGGAGCATACCTTGTTCCCTGGCTAGTTTCTCATGCCTGGTATTTACCAGTTCAGAGGTGTTTTACTGTATAATGCATTGAGTTCTATCTAACTGTTCTTTTTGTTTGATGTGCTCCCATCTTCTTTCCTGCTTTTCAGGTGTTCTTGTGCTGACTTTCTTTGTGAACAGATTTCATGTGAACACCATCACCAGCAAAGACCAATTCATTATAGCATATGGGGGTCTCCGAGGAGCCATTTGTTTCTCTTTGGTTTTCTTGCTGCCTGACTTTCACAGAAAGAAGCTCTTCATTGCGGCAACAACTGTTGTTATCCTCTTCACCGTGTTCGTACAGGTAAAAACAATCTTGGTGTCACTAGCAGATGTAGAGAATAAGCATGAGGTTTTTTTTTCTGTTCCGGACAAATAACCAGTACTAAACCATTAGGTGGAACAAGGATTTTCCAGTCATTAACTCTTTCCCTCTATTGAGTGGTTAGGCATCTGGAAACTTCAAATTATTACTGAAAGAGGCAGAAGGTTTGAGAGCCTGACTAGCAGTTGTTGACTTGCAACACGTGTTGTGCTTGTGCATTTTCCATGATAACTTGTCCCATCTTTTATCCGGTCCATCTGTAGTGGGATAGCAGGTTTGAAAATTGTGAAGAATGATGCTGGCATAGGTTTCCTCTCTAAAGCAGTGCTTTTATGTGTTTTATGTGAGAGCAAAGCCAACACAAATCAACCTCTACAACTAGTTTGCTGTTTGAGCAAGGTAAGAGCCACTTGTTATTGGAGGCCTTGTCATGAAATGAAATGCTACCTGAGCCATGCAGTAAATGAAGATCGGTTTTCCTGATCCCAGAGGGGAGAAGATGGAGGATGTTGGAGATGTTCCAAATCCCCTGAACGAAGGCAGCAATAACTTGAAGAAGTTTATAGTTTGGTTGTCTCAGCTTTGGTAGTTCACAAGTGGGACAAATTTAAAGGGGCCTAATTTGGGGGGAGTGACTTTTTAATGGTTTCTGAAAATGAGTTTTATTGGGGCACCCAACATCGGAAGCAACAACAGTCATTAGTTTGTTTTATATTTTGTGTCTATGTCTGAGATGTTTTCACATTCATGCAGCAAAGCAGCTGCAGTTATTTTGTGATGATACAGCAGGAAGGGGATTGCTTTAACACTTCCACTGGAAAAAAAAACCCAACTTTGGGTGTGTTACTTGTTATAAAAGCAAGGAAAATCAGAAGTGAATAGAAAAGTCAGCACTTTTGATTAATTTGCCTCTAATCTTTCTTCTATAACTGATCCCTGAGCCCTGTTGCTACCTGCTTTCTCTTTCTGCCTTGGTGATTCTTGGCTTGTTTCCTACCCACCACCAAAGCTTCTGTGAGCAAGTTCAACCTGCCCACATCATGCAGCAGCTGCCAGGGTGGGAGAGAGAGGCGGACCCTCAGAGCGCTGATTGCTCCAAGATAGTTGGTTTGTTGTTTGAAGCATGGAGGTACTCTCCCCCCACCCCGTTTTAAAGACTGATTTCTGTGAGTGTCTTTTGAGTATGCTTTGCAAAGCCCACTCGTACAGAGAGGCTGTAGGAGCATCTGCAGCTTAGGCTGCTCTTTGGCACCATATGAGCAGTGCCCCATCTGACTTCAGCCCACAGCTGCATAGTGGGTGAGGATGGACAGTCTGCAGCTGGGACAGAACTTGGTGCTGGTATTGCTCTCCTTACTAATCATATGCTGTTATTTTTGACGGATCTGGATTAGCACCCTTCCAGGTCTGTGATGGAGAGAGCTTTTCTTTCCCTCAGGCACAGGCTGTGGTTTTAAGGAGTTGTTGAGCTCGGGAGGAGCAGGCAGACAGCATTGCTCTGACACCTAGTGGTAAAAGCATCCTTGCAGCCTTCTGTGTGGTGGTGTTGGAGGTGTCTCCTTGTTCTTAGCTCAGCAGCAACTCTGTAAGAGCAAGGCTTCTTTCGGGCTTTCTTTGAAATGCACGTTTTAGTTCACCTCACAAACGCTGTCATGTTTGGAGGAGAATGTGGTGGGAAAAATTGAGTTGTCTGGTCCTGAAGTGAGCAACACTGCTGTCTACCTGGTGTGCACCATCCCAGAAAAGTTAAGCATGGGTCTCCATAGGGTTGAGGCAAGCAGGATGCGGGTCTGGAAAAGATGCCATGCAGAAAAGCTCCCCAGGAGCTCCTGCTGAAGAGCATGAGGCCCATGCAGAGCTGCTGACCTGGGGCTGCCCTCTTCCTGCCCTTGGATGGAGGAAGCAGAGCAGCAGCCGGGGCTCTGGGAGCTGGTGGGTCACGGTGACAGCTGCTGAGTGGCCCCATGGCTGAGTATCAGTCCACAAGAGCAAATTCCTTTTGCTTGGCCTCCCTGAGCCCCTTAGGTGTGGGTGTTGGGCACTTGGGCAATGTGGAGGATTGGTGTTGGCTCTCTGCTTCCCCACATCCACCTAATCCACATCATGGGCTGAAAACATGGTCAATGTGTGACATGCTGATGGGCTTGGAGCTCAGACCTGCAGGGCAGCTGGACTGGGCACAGCTTTCAGACTGAAAGGAGGGAGCAGGGGCCAGGGGTGGGGGGAACGTACTTAGGTGGAGGTTGACGAGTTTTAAGATGCAAATGTGGGTCAGAAATTGAAAAGACACAGTCACTAGGCACGTCCGCTCATGCAGAGACGCTCTTGAGTCTCAGACAAAGGTTGTTCTAAGGCAGCAGCTCTATTCTGCTGAGGCCTCGGAAAATCCTTCCCAGGACTGGGAAAAGGGCTTTTGTGTAACCTCAAAGCTCAACTGGTGATGTCATCTCCATGCGAAAGGGTGAGAGTTAAACAGGGTCCCCTGTGGGTATGTGTCGGCGGGACGACCCCTTGACCTTCAGCCATTCAGCAGGAGCATAGTGTCTATAAAGACAGACTTTGCTCAGGCTCAGGATACCTGCAGTATTGTGTAGCTGAGGCTGCCACAAGAACAGGGAAGGGGGAAATAAACTTAAGCTGAAACAGAAGGATGAGAACTTTTCAATGCTGTATCTCAGCATATACATACACAAATAGAAGCATGTATTAAGATGGACCTTTACAAATGATTCCTACAGCTTCTGAAGTTCGTGGCACTGCTGCCAGCCACATTGATGGATGCATTATTGAAGAATTAATATCCTTAATATCCCAGCACCTTTGATGGTGCTCTGTCACTTTGGGTGGAAAGGACGAGTGAAATATTGGCTACGAACCAACTTCTGTAGACAGTGGACTTTTGTTGTTGTTATTTTGTGCAGTAAGTTTTCTTTATATTCTCAGTGATATCAGTACAGACTCGGCAGGGGGTGTCTGTGTTAAGATAGGACACAAACTAGGTGAGAAATTATCTGGCCCCTTTTAAGCTGGGGAAGGCCAGCAAAGTATCTTGTCGGAGCACAAACTGACTTCATTTTCTTGGGAATCCTGGTCACACTCTCTGAAAAGCTTCACGCTACGTGAACTACTGATCAACATGTTAGCGTTGGGCTTGTCCATACATGGGTCTGTCAGTGTATTACACAACCCAAGAAATTAACCTATTTTGACCTTTTTTGCCTCAGTTGCATAAGCCTGTTCCCACAATGAGCCTGGTTAATAATTTTGAGAAGTTTGATTGAGCAATTATCAAGTCCTCAGTGCTTCTGAGCAGGCCTGGATATGCAACATGTAGCCCAGAAAGTCCTTCAAGGAGCTGTGGGCTTAGAATGTTGCAAAAAGCCATTGTTCTTCCTTTAAGTGTGGTCTAAAAATGAAATAGCACGTTCTCTGTTTGAAGTTCACTCTCTCAGCCCATTGGCCTCTGACCTCTTGCATGAAATTGCTTGCAAATGTAATAATTAAGAGTGTTTTTCCCATTTTTTGGCACATGTGTGAGTTTCTTTCATTTGATTTGGGTATTTTTGTTGTTTGTTGCCTGAACCGCTCCATTATCTATTGGATCACTGGTGGTAGAAAACATTGTATGAGCCACAATAGAGTTGTCAGCATCTGGTGATGCGCTTTTAATGAATTATTGCAAGTGGGTGGAGGAGCATCACAGGGGCCCTGTAGGTGTGTTGTGAAATAACACATGGTCTGAAATAGCACATGGGATTTCACTGATGGTGAAGGTCAGGAAGGGCCGAAGGAATTCAGGAGTTTAAGTTTGTGATTCCTGGTCACGAAACTCCAAAAGGCCACTTCAAAATGAAAACAAATGCAGTTGATTACCCAGTGAAGGCAAGAGATCAATTGCATAGTCTCTACTTAATTTTTGTGATATCTGTTATTTCTGAATTTGTGAGTTTTATGTTATTTATTCTGAATAGCAATGCTTTTTTATTGCTATTAGCTATTAAAATGACACATTAATTGTTTCTGCAATTAAAAATGTGCTCAGCTCTCCTCCGTGCCAGCATTTGTGACATTCAGAAGTCATAAACATCAACTACTCCATCATTTTTGCAGTAAACACGTCCTAGAAAACTCATTTCATACCAAAGCCAGACTAAGAAATGTAGCACAGAAGCATTTTAGAAGTTCTCTCACGAGTCTTAAATGGCATTAAAACTCTTCCTTTGACCCTTCTCACCAGGTGGATACTTTGATTAGTAAACTTAGCCACCGGCAGGCCATCAAAGATCGTTGGGGTAATGATCTGTGACACAAAATACTCAAAGTTAGCAGACAAATGCTGGTGGAGGCTCCGTGCTGTGAAGTCTCAAGGACTATCATCATTTCAGGCATTCAGACTTTGAACACTTCAAGCCTCTTTCCATCTGGTAGGCTACAAGGAATAGCAAACCACTGGCTTGACCTTGAAATTATTGCTTGACTTTCTGTGGTCTTTGAGATGCCAGATGAGGAGAGCGGAGCATTTCTCCTCTCTGCCTACCCCCATCCTGAAGCCCTTGTGTGAGCTCCCATTGACAGGCTGCTACCACAAGCAAACAAAATGTTTGGCTTACAGCTGGGAGAACAGTTTCCAATCTTGTTGAAGCTTTGCAGGTTTTGCCTGGCTAGTAAAGCAGAGCAGATGAGAAGCGTCAGCTCAAACACCAGGTCTTGTTCTGGCAAGGAACAAAGTAGCTGTGGCTCATACCTGTGCTGGTGATTCATTTTTTCCCCATGCAGGTACTACTAAGAATACTTGATGTGAAGAAAGGGTGATTTTTGTCTTTGTGGTTATGCTGCAGGGAATGACCATCCGTCCTCTTGTTGACTTGTTGGCTGTTAAGAGGAAAAGAGAGAGTGCTCCCACAGTGGGAGAGCAGATCCATATTCGGGTAAGTACATCCATTAAAATGCAGCCAGAGCTTTCCAATATGCATTGCTGGTAGCAATGTGGTCCTCCTGAAATGTGTGTGCCTCCAGGGACTCTACAGATATGCAGTTTTAATCTTCTGCAGGTCCCTTTCCAGGTTTAGAGTTTTATGCAGCTTCCTAAGCATGGGTTATTATTTGCACTGGAATAGCAGTCACAAACTTAGGCTGATGTCGCTGCTGCACAAACATGACAGACAAAGACGATAACTTGCCTAAAAGCTCGTAGTCTAACCTAACTCAAACATTTCTGCTTCTCTGTAAAGAGTGAAAGAAAGAAAAAGAAACTTGGTTGCTTTGAGGGTTGGGATCTTCCATGTGTTCATCAGCCACATCACTGCCATCAGTTTGGACATTTTTGCAAAAAAAAAAAAAAATTAGAAAAAGGAGCATAAAGGCTGGAATTATATTGGAGGGAACTACAGAAGTTCCCCCTCCCTGGAATTGTTCAAGGCCAGGCTGGATGTAGCCTTGAGCAACCTACTCTACTGGAAGGTGTCCCTGCCCATGGCAGGGGGTTGGAGGCAGATGATTTTTAAGATGGAATTTGGTTCACTCTGCTCTCGCCATCCGAACACTGGCCTTTCTAGTTATAGTGGATTTCTTCAGATGGGGTCAACTCCACGAGGAAACAGGGTACTCTGCTCATTTAGCTGATGCTTTGCCTTTGCATCTCTGTCCAATGTAAAAGACTGTTTCTGAACCTCATTGTTTATGCTCAGGTAATGGCTCAGGGGTATGGCTCCTTCAGGCATATTTTTATCTTCTTTTTGGATAGCTAGAAATAAAGACATTTGGTCTGAGGACATTTATAAAAACTGTTTGGCATCCTCACAATTAGGTTGTATTGCAGCGCTTTGTCTGAGGTTAACAGAACAGTTCAATAGGCTGAAGAGTCTTTTCCCATCATGAACAGAGAATACTTTCTTCTTTTGTTAGTGTGTGAATAGTAAATCATCTCTGGAAATGTGTTTATTAGGAAATGAGAGCTGAAAATGACTGTGTACCAATTAAGTTAAGTAGGGAAGGCAACAATGCAGGCTGCTGGAAAGGAGGGATGCAGAAGCAGCTTTCTCCCTCAAATTTATTTCTCTGTCTGGAGAGTCAGGGCATTCTTGCTCGCAAGAGTGATGACCGGTGGGGGTGACCAACTATATGGCTACTAATAGCTAATGGCATTAAACCTGTACCAAGCTGCAGGGCTGAGTCAACAGCTCTGATTTTTTTTGTCTCTGACCCCACAAAAAATGTCAGGGCTGGAGGAAGCTCCAGGGACATTGGTATACCTGAGTGTGGAGGATCATTGACCTGCAGTAGAGCAGAGCCCTCTCCCAGTTCGAGCTGCCAGTAGGAGAGAAAGCAATTTGGGAAATTATAGAGATTTAGCTTCTAGGTGGAAAAATCAATCTGTCTGGGACTTTTAATATAATTTCAAACAATAATAATCTTTTTGTATAAGGCACAATGTGGCCAATTATTTCATTTACTGGGAAGCGTCTGGGGGAAGGTAGTATTTATTATTCAAATCAAAGCACGTTATCTACATCTGTATGCTGAAGATTCCAATCTCCTGAGACACATTGTCCTCAAAAACCTCAATATGAGCATTTCCTGCTTATCAAGGCCCAATATGCAGGACATGCAAGCCTTCAGCTCTCCTGTACCTATCATAAAGAGCAGATCCACCTCCCTCAGTGATTATTCTTCGCTCTCACAGACCTGAAAGCAAGCAGCCAAACCACTTATTGTACTCCAGAGCAGAGGGATATACGTGGATGACTGGATGGGGAATTAGCCTGCCAGCCCCTCTCCTTGTTTACCAGTGCTGTGTACTGAGCTGAAAGCATCTCCCGTTTTGTCTGCTGGCTTTCAATGTTTGCTGACTGAGTTCATCACATATGCAATACATGCAACCGGTGTATAGCAAAATCCTCTTTTCTGTTTAGTTCTTGGATCATTTGCTGGCTGGCATTGAAGATATATCTGGACACTGGGGACAGTATTACTGGAAAGACAAGTAAGGATTTGCCAAAATACAACTGTGTACATGTGTAGAGAAAATAAGGCTGGTTTCTATTCCCTAAGTTTCCACTGTGAGCAGCTGGATCTCATTCATCCTTGAGTCACAAGGGAGGTGAGAGAGGGACAGCTTTTCCTTGTCCAAGGTGAGACCAGGCTCTTGGGGTGCTTCCCCACTTGCAGGTCACATATTGTGCTTCACCCTAAAAAGACTCTGTTCTCCTCTGCTATTGTTTGCTCCTTTTTGTCCAAAGAAATGAAACGAAAGGGGCACGCCAGCACAACACACAGCCCATGTAGCTTCAGCCTGTCCCTGCCTGTAGCAGTGTTGCCCGTGCTCTCCTGCCTTTCTGGCCGTGAAGGATCTGAGGACTCCAACCCAGCATGTGCACAGTTAAAAACTGAAAGTATGAAGCACAGCTGCTTGTTGTGGACTGACAAATTATAGCGGCTCTCTGCAGATCTCTGCTGCAAAGTGCTCCATTTTCACTGAACTTGGGCAGATCTTACACGTAGGAGTGTAATTTTTTTTTAACCCAAACAACCTAAACCATATTAATAACAATTTATCAGGTTTATTTCCTTGGCTGTGCAGACACAAACGCAGCTAACTTCATGGTGAGGACTCTGGTTAGCAGCTGGCAGGGATTTCCTTAGGAATGTCAGTACTTCGAAGTGCCACTAGAGGGAAGGGGAATCGCTGCTGGCTCCCTTCGAGCAGGTTTGTGAACAGCCCCAACTGCCAGACTTAAGTGTCAGTATTTGATACCGGCTAGATCTTTTCCAAATGCTGTGCTGCATGCGAGCAGAAAGTGAGAGGAAATGGCTCAAGATGGGATCTGGAAGTGTTTAAATCTGTTGCATCCCTTGGGGATGTACTTGCAGCACTTATAGTAGAGTTCATGTTAAATCTGGCAATTTGGGGGGCTTTTATTGCATTTGGCAAAGTTTTCCTATCTTAGCTTATGTACTGTAGTGCATAAATAAATAGGAACTGATCTCTCGGACTGTTGATTTCTGGAAAGAAGGCAATGGAATGTAATGGAATATGGAGTGGTCAAGGGCTATGAAACTGCTGGCTTGCTTTTGCTGATGGGGTGTTGTGGGAGGAGGCTAAACCCATCTTTTGTTCTCAAACAGATTAGAGTATTTTAACAGCAAATACCTGCAGAAGATCCTACTTCGAGAATACGACCAGCCAAAATCAAGTATCGTGCTTCTCTATGAAAAGCTGGAGCGGAAACATGCCATTGAGCTGGCAGAAGCAGGGCAGCTGGGGCACGGCCTGTCTCACCCATCCTTGCTGTGAGTGCTCCCTCTCCTGCACTTGTTCCCTTTCCGTCACTCATTCCAACCAGAGGGAACAGTTATTGAAAGCTTTTGCAAAATTCTCAAGCTCCATTGCTCTTCCCTGCTGGGCTGTCCCATGGGAAGGAGGAGCATAGCCTGGACAAATGCCATGTAAACATGATTAGTAGGTGCGTATTAAAAATGGTCAGGTGAATGAGCAGTGTACTGGCATGGATGAGCACTCTTCATTCATGAAGAGAGGTGAGCCTCTTTTACGTGTATCCCCCCTGTATCCCCCCTCAGAGTGACACAGAAATGGTGCTCTGAGGAAGAGGCTTTTACACCATTTTTTTGATGGCTTTGCACTGTTGTGTGAGCTGAAGGAGCCAACAGTGAGAATGAGCATTGGCTGAGATGAAAGGGTCAAATATTTGTGTGTCAGAATGGCCAATCTCATCCCTTACAGAAGGTTCTGCTCTGTCACAGCTCCCCACAGCTATTCTGTCTACCAGGGAGCACATGGATGGGGCAGCTCTGATGCAAATACCAAACGCCCCATCTGCAGTGAGCTCCATCTGCAAGAATTATCTGTTGCTTGTGTTCCCTGGTGGTGGAATCTAAAAGGGCTGCCATGAACTCTGGGCTTTGGGGATGCACTGATTGTGCTGCTGAGCATCTTCCAAAATGAGGCATTCTGGTTTTCTTTGCAGCAACAATGACAGGACTGTCATAACAGACACAAAATTGGAGGATACTCTGGATCCGGCTGTCCTGGATAACATACAGGAAATATTGGCAAGGAACCTGTATCGAATAAGGAGAACGGTATAACTTTTCCCTCAATCTGTACTTTAGATGTCCAATAACAAAAGTTATCTCAGTTATCCTAACAGCCTGAGCAGATGTTATGAATATTTACATAATTACTAATGATGTCTCTTTGTGAGCAGAGAATAGTTGGCTGTGTGAAGCCAGATCCAGTTTCCAAGTCAGTGGCACATTTCTGTTTGCAGCATGACAGCTTTTGAAAGGTTCACCCAGTCAGCCTATAATTTCATGAAGTATTTCAGGCATCAGCACCCAGAACCAGAAAGGAGAAAGGAGGAGCACATGGATCTTCAGGCATCAGGTTAACAGATCCAGCAGTTGCAACAGCTCCTGGTTACCTACAGGGATGGGGTTATCCTCACATTGTGTTTTTTTTTCCCCATAGAACAGAGCACAGTCAGTGAGCTGTGAGGGAGACTTGATCTGCAGATGTTTTAAAAACTGCTTGGCAGTTCTGCCATGGAACTGGTGCAACTGGTTAAATAGCACAGAAACCATTTGCTGTTTACAGAATAATGTACGAATCGGAGGTTTTACACAGCACCCAGGACTGTGCATTTTAATCGCTGTTCACACAGTGATACATGGAACCTTATCCTTAAAATCCACCTAAGCCTTTGTTTTACAGATTATGCATGAAATACTGAGTCCCTGGGGATGTGGCTGGTGCTGGCAGCTGAGCACAGAGGGATCAACCTCCCCCTCCTGTGCCGTTCCTGAGCCGGGAGAAGCAACTAGATACGGCTGGGAGGGAACCTATAGGAATGGTGAATGGGATGAAGATGAAGGCATACCTCTTGTTTTCAAATCTGCCTAAATCCAGCCTCACCTCTTGTAGTGACATTATAGTGACAATGCCAGCTGATGTTAGTGAGAGGTATAGCTTTGGTTGCTATATGGCTTTTGAAGCAGGATTTATGGTTCCTGTTGATTGTGTAATTTATATCTGAAGTTGGACTGATATAAAATATTGGAGGGTTGGGCAGAGGCACTGAGGCTGAAGACACCTTGAACAAAGAGACTGATGTGTCACCTGGACTAATAGAGAAGCATATCTGTCTTGTCATTTAGTGATCACTTGGGCAATTTTGCATAAAGAAGCAGATTTTGGAGTCCCATCTTTCTTCTTTGGCTCTTTCCCTCCATCCCACCTCTCTTACTTGGATAGATCAGTTTACCCCCATAATTAGGCAGGATGGTTACAGGGGGCGAAGGACCCTGGGGGACACAGGTATTAGTGAGGGGATGCTGCTGCTGAGAGAGGGATGGTCCCATGTCTGACAGTGGTCTCTCTGGTGCAACATGCAGGGGCCAGCGTACAACAGGCACACCCTTCCTGGAGAAACAGAGCCTGTGGAACATGCCAAGGAGATCCTGATCCTCCGGCACAAAAGCCTGCAGGTGGAAGTGAGAGGAAGTGATACGGTCAGCTCCAGGAAGGAGGTAAGAGATACAGCAGTGAGCTCTTGGACCTGCAGAGACCTTGCACAGGATGCTAGCAATAGTGCTGTTTAACGCTGGTGGTATTTCTTTTGAAAGACAAATCCTGTTACCATAAATTAAAAAAAAAAAAAAGTGTCTCAATCCTAAACTACATTCCAGTGAGTAGGAAATACTAAGAAATAAAACCAAAACAAAACCAGAATCCAACACAACTCCTAACAAAAAACTGAGCCATCTTGCGTGCGGCGCCACTCAGTGCTTTGTGAACACAGGCTTCCATCCATGCTAGGAAAGTTATTTACTGAGCAAATGTTGTTAATTGGGTTTCAGTCCGTGGATTCAGAGGTCTGTTTTTCCCATGTTTTCTTTTCTGGGAGATTTGGTTAAAGACAGGAATTTGGTTCACCCATTGTCAGTGGTCCAAGATGGACTGTAAATATTTGAAACTCTTCAGTGTTGTTTTTTTTTACCCCAACTCTTTGAAATGACAGAAGCATTATTGTGAGATTCCTTATTTATTCTGGAGGTGAGCTTTTTGTTTTTAAAAGCAGCTATGGTTCTGGACAGACTTGAAGAAAGGAAAATAGAGGGAAGTGTTGCATACTGGATTCCTGAGAGAACTGCTTTGAGTCCAAATTCACTGCTGGCCCATCTCCATGTCAGTTCATGTTATGAATTAGAGGAGAAACAAGGTAAATATAATGTCTGTGGCTGATGAAGACTTTTGCTGATTTCTCTGGCAATCAGTGGAAGAAGTTGGGCCAACATTTCCCTGTAGAAAGACAAAATGGTCCAGGAAGGTTGCATGAGGAGCAGGCTTGGTTTTTTCACTTCTTTCCATCCTCTGTAATTCTTGCTCTAGAGGAAAAGCAATTCATATTATTGCTCCCAAACCCTCAGGTCAGAAGCAGTAATTGCTGAGCCATCCCTAAATTTCGCCTGCTGCTCTTAATCTTAGGTTTTGATGGCTTGAGCTAGAGCACTATCCATGTGCAAACTGTGGTCTCTAATCTGGGCAGCAAGGCTCCATCACTAAGGCGAACAGGATGACCTTTTAAAAAGAAATAATTTATCTTCCTTTATTATACAGTGATTTTTCCGTGACAGCACAAGAACTTTGGACTGCTGCAGGCTTTCTTTTGCTCTGACTTCTTTGTTCAAATGCCAGTCATTGAAGAGCCCACCAAGGATGGCAGTAACACACCAAATGCCGCTTCTTCTCAGCCCTTCATTCCAGAAAGGTGTTCCGGCTCTTGCAAACAACTCAAAAGACTTAATTTGATCATTTACATGCTGATTGGTACTTACAATTCTAAATAGATAGGCAAGAACATGGCGTGTTCCTGTAGAACATTTGGTATAATTAAATTTCAAAAGAACAACATCAAACTAGGGTTGATTTTGAGCACGTTACATTCTTTAAGGACATTTGATTGTTAACCCTTGTGCTCCTGCTTTCCCATTTGCTGCTACTCCCATTAGGTACTGCAGTGCATTTGGAAGGAACTTGAGCGCCTTTGGGAACACTGTTTCTCCCATCACTTTGCATGCTTAGAGCTGGCCTTGAGAACAGAGTATTTTGGGGGAATTGCAAAAGCAGTAGAATTGACTCTCTATATATGCTGATTCATGGACGGTGGCTAATATCCTATATGGATGGCAAATGCTCCTACGGATTTTGTGAAATGCCAGTTTGGTGCTGAATACTGCTGTCTCTAGCAGTCATTTCTTGGTGCTAATCGCACGTCTTTACAGCAGCTACCTTTGCTTTGTGCCAGTCCAAGTGAAACAGGTGTAAATATGGAAAGCTGATTCCAGTGACTTCTGTAGAGGAGACCCTAAGCCCAAGAAGGAGTCTTCTGCACCCAAAAGGAAAAGTCAGGTGTGTTGTCTGTGATCAGCAGCTTATCTGCTAATGTTTTACAGTAGCTGCCTCATTTTACTGCAAATAGAAATAAGGTGATACCCCAAAGTGATGGGATAATGTGCTAGAAGAGCCCTAGAATATTAACACAAGGTGGGAGGGAGGGTGGGTGCTGTTACTTCGTGCTGTAGAAGGACAGATTGCAGAATTCATCAGTAGAAAGAAGGAATGTTGTGCTAAAATGTAGATCTTGGTCCACTAAAAGCCGCTCAATAGTTCAAATTTTTGGAGAAAATTAAATCACTTAGATTTAATTTCATGTCAAGTTGACAAGCAAATGGCATTTTCCTGTTTAAAAAAGAGATGAATGAAAAATATAGCTAGTTAGTGTTTGAGAGCTTTCTAATTGTCAGTTGCTCCATCTTTTGTAGTCCCAAAGGGAAGTGTTTGGCCTTTCAGGTTTTGAGTCAGCAAGAAAAAACTTGATACTGTCACGTCACACATCTTTCTGTTCTGCATTTCACCACGAGATGGAAGCATTACAACTGTGTTTGCAAACCCAACTGGAAATCAAGGAACTGAGAAACAAACTTTAAGCAAAGGGCCACTGAAAACCCTCTGGTGCTGGTGGAGTGCCTGCACGTCTTCTGTTGCCAGTCTATTCGATAAAAGCTTTGGTGACATGTTCAATCAGTTCGGTGTTATGTGCTGAGTGAATCCTTAAAAAATCCCTTTGGTTCAGTAGAAACACTGCTGCTTCTGCTTGCTGGCTGCCTGCTTATGTATTTTTCTTTTCTAGTGAAGCTGGTTACTCCTTTGCTATCAAAATATAAAGCTGTTGCAGCTCAGTCGGATTTGTCTTGTAATTTATCAGGTATGGGTTGGTCTTTTCCTCCTGTATCAGTCACCACAAAATAAGGGATGTGTGGAAGAACATATAGGTCTGTGGCTGCGCTAGGCTCAGGAGGAACCATCAGTGAGGCTCATCTTGCCTGATGGACAGTCCATCTCCCTCCACCGTTGGTGTGGAGAAACCAGTGCCCTTGGCAAGATAGTTACCTTTCCTCTCTAACCTGGGTGGCTTTAGGTGCCTTAGGGGTCTACTGCACTTTAGGTGTCTACCTTCGCTTTTACAGTACTGAGAGACGTCTCTTAGGCTGTGTTACAGGCCCCTGCTAACGAGAGGTTGGAAGGTAAATCAGGAAGGCAGAGAGAAGTAAGAAAAGAACAATCTTCATCCTTCCCTAGCCAACAGTGCAGGTTAAATGATTTACACCAGGCAGAAAAGCCTTGTCAAGACTACGAGGTGATTTCAGATCTGAATTGCAGCCCAGAGGATTAACTCCAAAACTGTCTATTTCGAACAGAAAATTTGCCTTCCTCCGCCTCAGGACAAAATTCCTGTCGAATGCTGCTGCTTCCTGCATCTGTGCATCACCCTGGCTCTGAATGCTGTCCAGATTTTGGGCTTGCCTTATTTTAGGCAAGGATCCAACACAGAGTACGCTGGCAGGGCAGTCTCTGAGACCCAGGATAGCTTTTATTTACCACTGAGCACCCAGAAAATCCTTGCACCTGTAGCCAGGCAACTTTGGCCTCTTTTCTTTTGCCAAACACGAGTACACTCCCCCAGAAGGAGCTTATTTGGAGCTGCCTGTAAGCCATGTGCACAAATGACATACTGCCTTTGGTAATTATGTCGGAGCCCTTTCATGGAGCATGCTCTGAGAATCGCTAAATGCCCCTGGGAATGGCTTTCCAGGGAACTGGGTGCTGCTGCTTGAGCCTGGAAGGCATTGTTATTAAAATGGTCAATAAGAGTGTGAACAAGGGATGGAGGGCACCGGTCCTCATTAGGGGAGGGAGGAGAACGAACTCAAACAAAATGCAAACCAGGCTGGGAGATGTCCAGAGTTATTGGCAGTCCGGGTTGCTGGACTGAGGTGCCAAATCACAGCTGCATTAAGAGACTTATTCCCAGTTTACAGAAGCACTGAACAATTCAGGCGGCGTTGTGCTACCTGAAGGGTTTGGGTTTTTTTTTTTTTTCCCTTCTCCCTTTTTTTATTCTATTATTTATTTATTTATTTATTTATTTATTTATTCTCCTGAAGGGTAGAGATTAGCTCTGGAGTGAAAGGACAGGGAGCTCATTAGTGCAAGCTCCTTACCTGCCTCCTTGGTCTGCAGTCAAAGCAAGGGAACAGCCAAGGTGAGAAATGTCCATGTCCTGAGGATGGGCTTTGACTCCTGCACTTGCCTGCCTTGTCCCCCCCATTCCAGGGCTGTGCATTCCCCTCCTATCTGCCGAATCACTCCTGGAGAGCTCAGACCTCTTCCACCAACTCGAAACAAATCAGCATCTGTAAATATTTCCTCACGTTTATTTGGTCTACTTTTAGCTATAGTTCTTTTTGTTTTTCTTGGCAAAAGTAAAACGAATGGAAACAGAGTCCTTGGAGATTGCAAATGGCTTGTTTATGAAGCAGGAGTGTCATTAACAGACTTGCTAGCAATCTTCATAAATGCATTAAAGTACTTTTCTTCCTCAGTCACAGAAGGATGACTCCTACTCAGCGCAGGGTGACTCCAGCATGCAGCCCAAGCTGTGCCGTTCCTTCACTGGTAAGCTGGGGAGCTGGTGGGTGCTGGTGGTGATTTCCTACCTCCCCTTAATGCCAGGCCTCATCCCTGTGGGGTGGCCCAGCTGGTGACAGGGAGGATGTGCTGAGCTTATGGCATATCCATTACAGGGTTTGGATTTGGGAGGCAGTCAAGGCACAACCTCCTGCCCTCCCTACCTTGCAGCCAGCAGCAGCAGGAAGACCTGGGCTGTGTGTTGCAGGCAGAGTGGCACGGGCATCAAACCAGCCTGAGGGACAAAGTGGTCCTCCTTAGATGAGCATCATGAGTGAGCTAAGTGCCTTTTCTCAGTCTGACCTGAGACAAGATGTGGTCTAGTGGTGAACTTGGCAGAGTTGAGTTAATGGTTGGACTGGATGATCTTAAAAGCCTTTTACAACCTAAATGATTCTAAGATTCAGGTGTGCTGGGACACATCACTGGCAGTGAAGGTGCTCCAGGCAGCTGCTCAGGTGCAGGCAGTGATGCTGGGAATCATCACAGTGAGATCTGTTCCAGTTCAGATGTTTGACCTCCTTATTACTTGTGTGCTGCAAGGGGGTGCATGAGTTTACACAGAGCTTTCTTGTCTCTTATGTCCAACCAGGACATGAGCATTTGAAAGTGGTACTGTTCTTCATGTTCTACCAAGCACTAAGATGTCTGGCAGTAACTGCAGATCATTCTGTCTATGGTGATGCTACTGAATAAACTAAACCCTTACAAAAATAAATTACATTTCAAAAAGTAAAGTTTGTGCCAAAATTATTTAAAAAAATTAAGTTTATTTGTTTCTTCACTAAGTATTATTTAAATGCATTTTGAGTGCATCATTAGCAGCACTGTCTGTTTTAAATATCAGTCACAGAAAGATTGATGGTCAAGACCTCATGTTTTTATAAGCCTGAACCCAATTTCTAGATAACTGAAAGCTTAGTTTTCACTTTAAAACAAAGAGAAAAGGTTTATCAATGAAGCTTCACACAAGATAGAGCTGTTGAAAACCGTAGGCAGTCATTTCAGCCTCTGAACCACAGTGGGCTGTTCAGTGGGAAATTGAGCACTGAATTTTTACAAAACTTGGCATAAAACCTTTCAGCAGAATTGTCTGTGAAGGTGACAATCATGTCTGTAAAAGTGGTTGTACAAAAGAGTCATTGTTTGTTGGAAATAACAAAAAAAGTAAAGTTGCTTCCCAATATGGGCTGAGATAGTTTAAGGGACTGGGACTAATATTAATGTACAGAATGTTTCTTTATTACGTATGTTTATTACATACAAGTTTCTTTTCTATCTTTTTTTGTCCTTCAATTTCAAATATTTGCTTCCTTTGTAATTTTCTTTAAAAACTTAGCTGAAAACTTGCTAAATAAAGAGCCATGGAATAGCTGGCACCTTCTCTGCACAAAGATAACTAACTACAGGTTTTCAAGAGTGGGTAGGAAGAACAGAAGTGTGTGGCATTTGTGTGTTCATAGGATGGACATCCGCTGGGGATGTAGCTATTTTGATCCACAGTTTATAATGAACGTTTGTATTCTTCCTGAAGAACAACTGGAATGTAAGGAGAGAAAGTGATAAGAAGCAGTGTTTTTCTCTCCCCAGGAAGATGTGAGCACAAAAGCCCCCAACATACTTTGGTAACAGGTCTGTAGGAGACTATAACTCTTCAGTCATGATTGCTTGTATATCCACCCCAAAAATATCACTTAATGTGGCAACAGGAAATGATAAATGCTCTAGCAGGACACCTGCATCTTGAAAAGACAATATGATTTTTTGTTCGTAAAGTTGCTGGTGGGCACTGTCAAAAGAATGATGATATTGATCCGGAAATGTAACATATTTCACAGTACAAAATATGGTTTAAAATGTCTTATTTTCCCCTTTTTGTCATTCATTGAAACACTGATCTTTGTCCTCTGTTTTGTAATTGAAAAGTGATCCCTGCAGTGGTATAGCTCATCCTCAGTGAGCAAATGGCCACCTCCAGTAGCTCTCAGTATTCCTTCGTTCCCGTTGACCCACAAAGGAGAATGCTTCTCATACAAGTTGGTGTTTTTCTCTTCCTGCAGTGGGGAATGCCGAAAAGCTTCTGGAAGTGAAGCAGAATCGGTCCAAGTCAGTGTGTGTTATCCCACCACTGCAGCCCAGCAGTATTGCCTGTGGGGAGAATGAGGAAGTGGAGAAAGAGCTGGCTTTGGAGATGTGAAATTGCAAGAGATGATTCAAGTGAGGGATCTGTTTCATGGATGGCTATGATACATGTAGATAATGTAAATAAGATTCATACTGAAAGGGACAATATGGACAGGGCAAAATATTCTAAGTGGTTTGCAACAAAACATGCTCTTATCAAAACCCCAGTGTTGTACAACAGGAACCAAGGGCAAAGATGCATGGTTGAGCACTAGCAATGCAAGGTGATGTCTGAGAGAGAATTTCTAAGAAATGTCTAGGAAAAATTAGTCTTTTTGGCATGGGAAAATTGATGAAACTGTCTATAACTGCAATAAAAGATGTTTTAATAAGGTGAGATATCAGATCTTCTCATTAGTCAGCAGGGATAGACTAAACAGCAGGGAACATTTAGATCAAACATTAGGAAAAACTTCATAATCTTGAGGAGGGCTTTGTTAGGCAATGGCATGTGTCACTAGGAGAGACAGCAGAGCCAGCAATGGATCTCTTCTGCTCCTTGGGAACTGGAGCCAGGAAGAGGAACCAGGTCCTGCTTCTGGACATTAAACATATAAGTCCAAAATTAAATCAAGTAGTTAAATAAGTGACTCTCCCACACCCAGACATGGTTCTTTTAATGGAAACTTATTATAGCTTTATTAAAAGGGGAAAATATAGTCTTACTAATTTTTTAGCATTTATATAAGGAATGGCTCACCTCAGAAAATAAGATGGGGAAGCTCCACATCCAGTGGCAATACCAGGAGACTAGTGTGCTATCCCTTAAACAGAAGAGCAAGCAAGTGGTTGGTGGTTTGCAGCAAGCCTGCAAAGGGTCCCTGAGATGATCTCTGTTGTTATAGCTGAGAGGGTCAGAGGAGGTTTGAATGCGTCTCCTTAGAGGATATAGCAGAGAGAGAGACCCAAAACCTAGCTGCCAGGGCCGCTTCTGCCAGGAAAGGTGTGATCCCCTTTGCAGAGTAGATGCAGGTAAACTCCAGTGATAGCATCTGAGGAAGATGGATATCTCCACATTTGGGTGATTTTCTTTGAAACTCCAGATAAGTGTCCAAGCCTTCGAATTTTTATCCTTAGCTGATAAAGTTTTAGCATTGCGAATATTGAGACATTTTTCTTTTTCTTCCCCTTCCTCTGCATTGAAGGATTCAAGAGTATTTAATCTGAGCAAGTGACTCTTTCTGAAATAACAGAAATTGTAAGAATTCAAACCCCCCTCCAGGATATTTTCAGACTTTCAGAGCCTATCTCCTCTGTGCAGTAATACTCCACTAGGAGACCACTGCCTGGTACAGCGGGGCTTTCATTTTAACCTAAAGACACAAAATCTGGTGTATTTGCTTTGCAATGATGTGGACATCTCATTTTCATTTGAATAAACTTCTTCACCGTGAACTGACATGAGCTAGTGTAGTTCATTTCAACTCAAAGGCCCCTCTTAATTGCCCCATCACTGGAAATTCACCTCATTGCAAACAAAAATTGGACCTTTTAGCCTTATATAAGTATTTTGTGTGTATGTACGTATATGTATTAATTGACTTTTAGTATATGTTCATTGTTATCTACACTTTATTAAAATGTTGGTTTGTTTCTCATTTTAATCTGCCTTGTGTGGGAGTCTTATGGATTTGTCAGCACTTGATGTAGAAAATTGCCCATCTTTGAACATCTTGTAATATGCAACATAGTACATTGCAACATATTCATATATGTTTCTATTTCAATTAAATATGTTGTGTTATGAGATCATCTAAGAGTTATTACCTCCTTGCATCCGCAACATGCTCACAATGATGTCAGTGGTGGCTGGTGACACACGGGTGTCTCTCTGGGTGTCATCGGTCCGGCACAGAAGCCTGTCAGATCCGCTTTGAACAGTGGTGCATTCAGCTCTGCCCTGTGCAGCCTTTACTCAGTGATCACAAGATCATGAGCAAGGCAAGCGATTGTAATGAGTGAGGAAAATGGTCTATTTATTGGTGTAAGCAATTGAATACACGTGAGAAGGGAAAAAACTACTGAACCTGAAGGTCCTCAGCTCTCTGGGGTTGAAATGTCCACTGTTTCCTTGGAGTTTAATGTTCACAGCATATAAAAAATCTCCTTAATTTCTGCACAGTAAATAGCTATAGAAAGATTTTCTAAGATGTGTCCTTTTTATTCTGTAGCTGGAGAGCAAAAAGGAAAATAAATGAAGTTGCTTGCCAAGGAGTTTTTAATCAAGATTTTTTAATCAAGGATAGAAGCTTTGTGAATCCTTTGGTCATTTCTTGCTTTTTGACTATTTGTTTGGTTTTGTTTTTTTTTATTTTATTTTGCTTTTGGCTTCTGAACTGTCTTGCTTTTGTCCAATAAATCTGTCTGTACCATCTTTGTCTTGTACAGCATCTATCATGCTTCTGGGCATTGGATACTTAAATAGTGATATTTCTCTGTTTGAGTTTCCCATTGTGTAAAATGAGTTCCCTGCAATATTGTTATGAGCTACCAAAGGCCTTAGCAAATGGTGGTTGTTCTGGCATGTGTAGATTTCTTTGTAATACTGTAGTAGACGACAGAAATAGTTGGAAAAATCAGAAAATGGATTTGAAATTTTATTTGATGTGGAAAAAAAAAAACACATTTTGCTTGCATTTTTCCAAAATGGCATAATTTTCATCTCGCACAACAAGAGACATTTCAATGCCAGCTTCTAGCAATTCCAGATGTGGCTCAGCTCCAGGTGTGTGTTTCAGTGGCTTGAGGCTGCTCCAGCCAGACCTGCATTGCTATGCCCATGCACTGATGGGTCCTGCACAGATCCCAGCCCATTAATCTCTTCCACCCCTGCTCTGCACTGCTGGTACCATAAATACCTCTCTGCTGTATTAACCATTTGCTTGATCTGCAGGGAAGACAGTATTCTGTGCAGTACATACTTTCCCAATGAGTCATTCTGCCCCAAATTTAACCTTCTAGATACTATGGATTTTTTTCTAAATGTTTCTTTACAAAATATAATAGCACAGCTAAAGCTTTCATGAAGTATTTTCCAGTTGTTTAGTGGCCAAGCCCTCTGACTAGTATGGATTTCAGCCCAAAATACCTTTGATAATCTTTGCCAGTATCCAGTGTTGGTGGTCTTAAAATTCTACAACTGAGTGGAAAACGGCTTCAGAGCATGCCGAATTAATTCTTTCCAGGGTTTTAGTCCTTTAAAAAGTGTTAAAAACATGGATTCAGTGTATCATTGAATATTGCATGGTTCTGTGGAAATAAATTGCATCATTTTGATTCCTTTAGTAGTTCAGAGAGTTATTGCTCTGTGCTTATTTTGGAAGTTTTCAAGAGTCTTTTGGAAGTTAGGGTTAAAAAGGCAAAAGTTGCTAATGATGGGGAGTAGCTCAATGGTAAAGTAAAAGCCCAGAAACTGCATTGGAAAAGTCTGGGCACATAGATCAAGCAGCTGCATTTAAGCTAAATCTTCCTTGCACTCACATCTCCAAAAAAGAATTCATGTTCAGCATATGGACTTTTAAAAATTATTTTTATTTTGACCATAAAATCAGACTTGTATTTATTTTATTTCATGACTGCTTAAGGAGATTATAATGGCTTAATCCTGGAAAATACGGGCAACACTTAAGAAGCAGGTGAAGCAAATTTGAGCTTTTCTTTCTCTCCTGACATCAAGAACTGCGGGGTATTCAACCTCATAAGATGTTGAATAAGATTAAGGATCTTTCAACATCCAGGCTTATGTGCTTCTTCCATGAGACTTGTAGACGGGAAAGATGAAAAAGGAACATGATGGAGATGAACTGGTGATTACAGTTTTAATGCAGAATTAAAGGGGCAACTATCAATATCGGTATCTGTTCCTCTCCATTCCTGTGCAGATCATACTGAGGGGGCTGCTCTTTGCAAAGCCATTTGGGGATGTTGGTATCATTTCCAAGGCAAAGATAATAGAGCATGGGTAGCACTTGGTGTGGTCTGGATGGCTTTGCTCTCTTTCTTCGCTTCTTGTTCTAAGGTCTGTGGAGACAACAGTAAAGGCAGACACCCATGAGAGATATTCACCCCATCTACCAAAGGAAACACTACATGGAACATCTTTCAGAGCATGACAGATCACCAGGGTAAGCTCCAGTGCAGAAAGATACTTAGGGAAGTCTCTGAAGGAAGCCCTGAAATCACATCTGTTCATAAAATTGTAAGAAATCCTCTGCTTTTAGCATGAAAATATTTTTATCTGTTTACATATTTGTAATTTTTCTGTGAACATGGACCACAACACAAAAAAAATAGCAATTACTTGGACTGTGCTGTTGGAGTCTTTGATCAACCAAAAAGTAAAGCACTGGTTCTATGAAAAATCTGACGTGAATAGCCACAGCTCCTTGCTAGAGTATGTGTGTTTTGAAGATTCATAATTTCAGTTTAAAAGCTTAAGGGAGAAAAAAAAAAAATCCCTGGGGTCAATTAGGAAAATGAATGTTACTAAAATGCCCAGGTTATGACTTTTAGGTCCTAGTGCTGCCTGTGGTGGAACCCTCATTTGACAGCTCTGGACAAGAGGACCTTGAAGGCAGCTCTCCATTGCCACCAGAAGAAGTAAGGGAGGAATCGAGGGCCATTTTCGTTGGTAATTAAATGGTATTTATGTCTAACTGTTGCACTGTCAGATTGTCTGACTGGTGACAGTCAGTTACTACACCTACCTAGCTCTAATGTAGCCCTCCAGAGATCCTAATACAAACTACAGTGAACAACTGACCAACCTATCCTACAACATGCTGCAGACCCAAAGGGTTGTGGAGCTCAGGCTGGGTAGATACTGGGCTGTCCTTATGGCCCCACTGTGCTTTCCTTATGGCTTCTGAATAACAAATGCTGGATGTTGGTTGTCAATAGTGTGGCCCCAGAGCCCCAGCACTACACATTTTCCACAGGGACAATGTGTCCACACAGAGTTCAGATGCAAAGGCAACATCATGAAGGAGCCCAGGATAAGATGATGAAATAATATGGATGAGATGATCATAATTTTTACAAATATCTTATTAAAAATTTTACATCAATTTCCATATTTAATAATTGCTTTCATTCCTTGATAGATTTCAAAAGGTGTTTTGCCCTCCAGAATGGAACTTTTCTTTCCTTAAGTCTTGAAATGAAACATTGAATATTAAGAAACACCTTGAAGTTTTTCCAGAGGTACTTGCTCACCCCAGCCCTTCCTCAAACATTCTTTGGTTTTTAAACTCCACATTTTCTGATTAGTTCATCAGAAAATCCCCAGCCCTTTCTAACTGCAGAGGAAGGGAGGGGGCTGGAATGATTTATTGGTGGCCATTTCTTCTTTCCTTTTTTTCTGCTGCTTCTAGTATATGTGTGTCCTGTCTATTAACAAGGCTGTCTATTGCATTGTATAAAATCTATATGAACAAAATGCACAAAAGAAAAAAAAACACCTAATTTAAACTTCAAAACCACATGGGTCTGAATCTTATAATTAAGATTTTTTTTCTGAAGTTTAAAGGAACTATATTTTCTGTTAGTCTTATGAAAAAAAAAACCCAACTCTAAACATTCCTATTATTGTAAGAATTTTATCTACTTTTGTTCCCCAAGCACTAGGGAAATAAAGAAGCAATGCTGGTGCATGGGTTAGGTGCTGGGTGCTGGAACCTGGGTGTTCCCCCCATGTGCTGCTGGGGCCTCTGCGTTGTCCCTGTGGCTGCCAGAGTCCCAGGCACAATCTCATTGTCCTTTGTGTCCAGGAATTTTTCAGATCCTAATGGTAGTGGGCATGTGCAAGGGGATGTGCCAAGGAGAAGAGGAAAGTTCATTGCATGGGGAGATGTTTTGACCTTGCAAACTCAATTCCTATTCCACAGCCTAAGAATTTGGAAGATGTTTAGCTGGGCATGTAACAGGCCATGAGGAGCCAAGGCTGGGCACCAGCAATGCTCTGCCTCAGCCACACAGGGGGTTTTCTGCCAATGGGACAAAGAATTGCTGAGGACACCTTCCAAATGGCAAACAGTGCTAACTTGCAAATACACATTAGCATAAATGCACCAATGCCAAATATGGATGACTGAAAAACACACACAGAAATGGGGAAGTGTGCATTAATCCCTTTGTAAAAAATACACAAGTGCCCACTTTGCATTTTAATTTTACACAATTGCAGGGCAATCTGCAAAAAAAGCCTTGACTTGTGGTGTACAAACCCTTGCCTTCATTGAGCTCCTTAGAGCAGTGCCAAAGATCCCTTGCTGGTTGCATTCAGTTTTGAGATACAGATCACAAGAATAGATGACAACTGATTTTCCTTGTCACTTCAGACAGGTTTAACCAGTATTACATGTTAGTTAAATGGCAACTGATTGAAATTACACTTATTGAAGATTATTTAGGTGATAGATATATTGCACTTTGTATTTAATTAACCATTTTATGTTGAATACAAAAAGATGTCATCTCATTGCAGTAATCACTGCCTGCAAATTAACCAGATGACTGCAAGATGAGTATGTTGTTGAAGTTCAAAACTGTGGAAAAACAGTGGTTATGCTGGGCTGCCCAGGGCTGTGTGGGAGAGGGTTAATACATGTCAGGATGGGAGGAGTGAAGGTTTAGAGAGGGTTGGTCATGAGCACCTGTGTGCAAGCCCTTCACAATAGCAGGGATTGCTTCCAGTGGAGATGGCATCTAAAAGCAGGAGGGGAGGGTAAGTGGCCAAGAGAGACAGTGTTTATTCATGCAGAATTAGAAGGCTGAGGAGGGCTTAATTCCCAGGTGGCAGTGCAATGAGAAAGAGGAGGAACAGTGCTGCTTACTGTTGCCCTACAGACGCACAAAGGGTTCTTGGTGGGAGGCTGTATTGTGTCAGAATGATTTCTCCTCTCCCTTAGCTGACTAAATAGTTTGCTTGGAAGAAAAGGGATGGTTAAGCAAGGTGAAGACATGATATATATTTTCACTTCACTGAAAGTGTCCTTTGCACTATGGCTCTGCCATAAGATGCGTATCTGCTGCTCCCTGTTTGAAGGCCTCACAGTGATGTCTCTAGCTGGTGAGAGCCGTGTTCAGCCCTGCTGTGGCTTGTTGTACTAACATCACAAGGCCTGATTCCATTTTAACAACTGACAATGATGTAAGGCAATCCTTTGACACAACATGCTGGCCCTGACCTGCAGATGCCTATGGCCTTGCTCACGCACCATCCACCCTACCATGCCAGATTCTGCCCTTCTTGCACTCTTGCCTCTTGCAGTCCTGCTCTAGCTCAGACTCGTTGTGTGCTAGGGTTGTGTGGACTGCAGCTGAGTTTTGGCCTACATGACAGTAAGTCTGCAGCCTGTCCACCTTTCCTTCCTCCACTTATCAGTGTGAGAGCTCCTCTGGGCAGAGACCTCTTTCCTGGATCCCATGGGATACCTCATGTGCTTGTGGTCAGGTTAAACAAAGAGCAGCTCTGCCATTGTGACAGCGAGGCAGAGAGGTTTAATGTATTATTTAAAGGCTATACCTGCAATATTTAAGAAAGAACAATGCAGAGGATAGAAGAAATTATTGTAACTTAAGGTCTACTGCGCTTACAGAAGAGTGAGCACATTCATCCGTCCATATGTCTCAACAGTTGGCTGGAAGTGTAGTCAAAATTTTACCCAACCCTCTCCAGTTTCCCTAACCAGTGTGCAGTTTCTCCAAGATACCCATATGTTCACAGTTATCTTGAACTATTAAATTGTTTCATAAATTTATTTGGCAACACAAAATCCCATAGGAAGTCAGCATCATCATCTATCCTGCCTTTTTGGAACAGGTCATGACTTAGGCTAAGGTTAGAAAATCAGAACTTGAATTTTCACTGTAATTTCAATTTCCTCCCCCAACTTCCTGGCATGTTACAGGAATATATTTATTGTCCTACAGAAATTATAATTTTCCTAGTCTGGCATCCAATTCCTGGCAGTGATCTACAGCAGATGCTCCAGCAGAAGACAAAAAATGTTAAGAATCAAATGGTAATGAAATTCCTGCTGGAATGTCCTCATCTCCATGAAACACTTCTTCCACAACAGGCTCGGGTGGTGGGAGGTGAATGGGTGCTATATATTCTGCAGGAGAGGGAACAGCTTTCTACAGCTGCATAGCAAGATGCTTTAGGTATGTTGGTACGTACACCTGATTTTAATATTCCTTGTCTAGCTAGCTGTGGACCTGTTGATTAAAACATGTTTGCATGGGTTGATTGCATCAATTCTGAGATCACCAAGATATTTAAGGTCTCACCAATGTTTTAATGTTGTTGCTTGGATCTCTGGGGATACTTTGTGTGAAAGTTGTGTTAGCGTTTTGCTCAGAGGAAGCATGGAGGTGGAAGGAGATGGGTATTCCAAACTTCTATAGTGTGCTTGCAAGGACACAGCTAAAGGTACCTCACAGCATGGGCTGTGGAAACTGTGGTCTTCATGGCATGGTAAAGATCTTCAAGTTCAGATCTGCCCAAACCATGCACAGCCATTCTGCTAATCTTGTGCACAGAGTCCTGGGCAGTTCTGTATCCTAACTACTCATGACCTACAGACACTGCCTGACTGGCTGAGGCTGAGCTCTCTCTGCACCTCTCCTCTGAAACCAACAGCCATGTGTTTTTTTGGAAGTCTTCCTGCTCTGTCTCAATAGCTATTTGTCATGTTCCTTAATGCCACAGCTGTTTGGTTACGCCAGGTCATCTGCTTTTATTAGTCCTGTTCCCACCACCCACTGAAACTCACACCAGCCAGGACAAGATTATTATCTGTGCCTAAAAATAGCCCTTCTCTGGTCCCCCTCTTCCAGCAACCGTGGAAACTTCAGCATTTTTCTTCTTTTCTGGTTTCCACATCTGCTGTTTACCCCATGAAGGTTGGCGTAGCCGCCCTCGCAGCCGGGATCCTCGGCAGCACCGGCATCTTGCTCTTTCTCATCGCTTTTGGGACGGATTACTGGCTTCTGGCTACGGAGACCTGCGGTGTCTTTGAGCATGGGAACAGCACGCTGCAGGGCGGGGAGGTAAACTCTGAAATCTTGTCTTACTTCAAGAGAATTGACCTGCTTAAATAATTTAAAATGCTAGATTTTGAAAGTTTTACATCTGCAGTAATATTTATGCTCATTTAAAATGACCTCTTAATGTAAAATGTCAGTTTGAGCTAACTTTAAAATCCAAACCAGCTTTTCCATAGTATCTACTGTTTTAACTGAAGTACAGTATTGTCTAGGAAACATTGAAGACAGCACCTCTGTAATCTTGCAGATATGAACATTAGGGAATGAAAGGAAAAATATAAGAGCTTTACTTGTTGACAGTACTTGCCTCTAAAGACAAAAGATATTTCCTAACATTTGCCATTAAAAGATTTCTTCCTCTGTAGTTTCTTCATTTAAAAGTAGTTCATGTTTTAAAGTGTAGGGCTTGGCAATCATTTACACCTGAAGTGATGTGACTACAGCACAGACAGAAAACAAAAGCAAACATCAGATGCAGAGCACAGCAGATGAGTTCCTGCCCATCTGACTAGAAAAGGACTATATATTTCAAAATTAAGATTTATATAGGATTTCAGCTGCAGGAATTTTAATTTCCTAAGGGCAATATGGTGTTTTGGTGCTAATGCCTGGTATTGCCAGTTTACAGATCCTTTCAGAAGTGTGATTTTAGCTGCACTTGCTATTGTCTAACTCTTCAATAAAATAACCACCAGATCAGTTCCTTAAGCCACCCACTCTTCAAAACTGTTTTTGTGCTGATCAATGTGTGGTTTCAATTGCAGGATGACAGGATGATCCTTGTTGTGTGCAGACTTTTTGTTACTTCAAAGTTCAATCCAATTAGGTTTGGTTTTCTTCTGGTGTGGTGAGTCACACCAGCTAAGCATCATGATGGCAGCAAGGAATATTTTCTTTTGTTTCAAAATCCGATACCAAATGTAGGACAGTGCTTTGAGTCATGCCTCCAGATGACTTTCTCTATTGAAGAAAGAAACAACCCACAAACTTACAATAGAAAACTGCCTGTCTTTACAGTTTAAAGCAGTGTAGTAAAGCCCCAGAGATGGTGGGGTGTCGTGGACAGAGGAGTGCAGCTCAGTTTTTGTGCACTTGGGAGATGACAGTGTTAATTGTTTCAGACTTCCATTTGTGCTGTTGACTTCTAAAGTGGATTGACTAGCAACATTGCACTGCACGACATGAAAAAGCCTCTCAGACATTTAAGATAACGCTCTTGGCCAAGTGTTAGTGTGCCTGTCACTAAGGCAGAGTGACTTCAAAAGCACCAAGCAGAAATAGGAACTGTTCTTACTCTTTCCTTTGAGCTATTTTATTTCTATTTCAGACACTGTTTCTATTATTTCTATTCCAGTTACCGATTGTGTACACTGGGCTGTGTTTTTACCTTCTCTGCCCTTTCTTAAACTGGCAAATCCTGTCCCTTTCAGATAAGGATGGTCTTGAGTATTTGCCAAACAGTGCTTAAATGTGCTGTAGTCAGCAGCATCTGCCTGATGAAGTTTGAGGGCTGTATGGTACCGTTGTCTTAATTAGTATTTTACCCTGAAAGTCAAAGGAAAATCAGTTCAGAGCTCTGGAAGTGGTCATAAGTTGATGCATAAAAGCCTTGAGGCGAGGGAAGTATCTTCTAGCACCTTGTATTTGAGCCCTGTCTCCTTTCTCTAATTCACAGGGTCCAATTCTGTATGGAGCTTCTCCATCCTCCACAAACGTGATGTTGTAACACTCATGTCTTCTCTAACAAGCTGCATGGGATAAAGATAAAACTGATTTTGGCTGTAGGCTTAATAAGATTTTTTGGTAAAATAGTCCATGACTCAACTCTGCAATAACCTTCCTTTTAGAAAGACCTAAACCTTTGCTCACAGGTCTCATCTGAGGGTCCAAGTAGACTCAAAAATAAAGGAGAAATTGTCAACATCCCTGTCATAGTTTATGAGAAAACTAGTCTGGGCAGAGTAATTTGTGTCTCATGTAAGCTTAGCATAACTTCTACTGGGCTCAGCAGAGGGAGAGAAATAAGGAAACCTTTGGGCTGGTGATTGGAAGAGGCTCTCTGGAAGTTTTAGAGGTGGGCTGTCTTGTGAGGTTAAGCCAGACCTTACATGAATCCTGCGGAGCAGCAAGGGCATCAGAACTCTGCTGGGTCACACCTAAAATTGTTTACCTGGCAATCAACCTGCTTCCTACTGGTTACAACAGCAATAACATTTACTTAAGGAAAGTGTTTAAGTAGAATATATACCCAGAACGCTCAACTCCCTGACAAACCCACCCAGCTCTGTCAATCATTGTTTTAAAGATATTGGAGAAAGAAGAAACAGGTTTGGGTCTAGAAAATGATTTGCTATCAGAACATTTTGTCGCTATGGGATGGCAGAAAGTCAAGGACAGCAGCTGCCTCTGTGTTCCCCAATCCCTCCAAAACCAGCGCAAGCAACAAATGAAAGCCTCAACAGAAATGAAAGCAACAACTGTCTAAGCAAAACCCACACACTTTCCACCAAGATCATCCCTGTATCAGCTTGGGCTTTCATTCCTTCACAGGCTGAAATGCTGACAGAGGTCAGGAAAGAGATGCTCACTTTCCATCATGAGGGCTTCTTCTGGCGGTGCTGGTTCTTTGGCGAGGGTCACTCGGAGACCATCTGGACCTTCTGGTACAGTAAGTACGATGCCACTACGCCATATCCACAGCATTCACTCACAGTTTGAATTGCAAACAAGTACAAGAAGGGCTCCCAGGGATGTCTTTATTTAATTTTATTTTCATTCTCATCATCTCTCTAACAAAAGCAAACTTGGCTCACCCTTTCTGAGCTCTTTTTTTGACTTGCATTTTGCTCTCAGAATTCACAGAAATGTAGAAACCTCTTGGTGACATTTAATATATCACTACAAAGTTTTATGGAGTAGTGGCTTCCAACAGCAAGGACAACTCTTCCCCCTTACCCCTACTTCTTGATGTCCGTGTTCAGCCAAGGTCTCCTAAATTTGAGCCCATGCCTTCCCTGGCCACAGGGTGGCTGTGTTTTCAGCCATCGGGGTGCTAAGTGCTCCCACCTGCTGCTGTTTTCAGCATGGGGAAGGCTGAAAGCACATGCCTGTGGTCTCCCTGGGTGCTCAGGACCTGTAGCAGTGGGCAGTGGTGGACCATGCAGAGCTGTAACCACCTGTGTTTCTGCTCTTAAGCACACAAGATCCTTACTGTAAGATCTCCCCTGTTTTGCTTTTGAAGGTCATTGAAATTACACGTGTGAATAAACAGAAATGGATGCAAAAGAGGTTGGTTTGGTTTTGTTTTGTTTTTTTTTCTGAAAGCACATTCACTCTTCAAGCAAAATTGAATGAGAAGGTGAAACCTGTTCTGAGACACCAGTTGGTGCTGACTGGTGGCTCACATGCACTGAAGTGTGGGGTCTTGGCCCAGTGAACCAGGTGCTCCCACAAGAATGAGCAAAGGAGTGAGACCAACCCACAGCATGCCTGGCACCAGCCTTGCTGGTGGCTGAGCCAGCACCTGGCTCACAGTGGGCAATTAGAGGACAGCCTTTCCCTGGGATGCCACAACCTTAGAGAAATATTTGGCATTACAAAAAGAGGTGTTAAATAAGTTCTGCAAAGGTTTACACTGCAAAACCCTTGACCATGTGCTCGCTGGTGCTTTGGTTTGGTCAAAGATGTTTACATGCATGTAAAGCAGTGTGACCTCCTTCTGGGCATTTGGCTGCAAGTAATGAAGATTCAATGCAGTATACAATAAATGTACTCTTCAGTGACTGAAATTTCAGATGACTTTGCTGTCTCTCAGTCACTGACCTGTGTTTCCTGTAAAATCATGCAGGACGGTTACTGCCACTGTTCAACTGAATAATGTGAGGATTTTCACACAGAAATCTTTTTATAAGAAAGGAAAGGCCTAAGAGAGGGAGTTTGTGATCTAATTATATTAGATGGAAACACACAATATAATATAATGTTACCTGAAAGTAAAATGGCTCTTTCTGATAACTGGCAAATCTGTAGTACTTCTTTAGGTATTTATGATAATAGGATTGATCATGGCAAATTAATTTGCTGCTCTCACAGATATAATAATTAATTCAATAGGTATTCCATAGTCAATTTAGCATGAACTAATGTCCACCTATTATAAAGTGTTCCTTTGAGCTGGGGAACATATTTAAATAAGTGGCCAACCATTAATTAATTCATTTAACATTCATTCTATTACCCTTAATCATGATAAGCCTCAGTGGTATTAATATTGATGGGGCACTTCCATTCTAATTGTGCTTTCTCTTCTCACAAACTGGATGTCTTGTAAGGCATCTTGTTCTGGTACCCAAATACCTTTGCCCTTTCCAGACGCTCTGACACATTTGCTGAAGGAAAACAGCAGTGGGAATATTTACACTGATTTCAGTTGCTCCATCTTTCATGATTTATGTCCACCTCAGGTTATGAAGATGGGAAGATGTACGGGTAGCAGTCCCAGATCCTGTTGTATCTCTCCTTTCTCATAATTCTTTTTTTTCTTTTTTTTCTTTCTAACCAGGATTTACTATGCTTTACTCCCCAGCATTCCAATTTCAGTGAGGGTTTTGTAGGTGTTTACAGAATAGTGCATTGCCATCTGAATACTGTAAGTGTGATTTTGCAGGAAAATAAAAGCAAACAGGGATTTCTTATTTATTTATTTATTTTTGTTAATGTTCATTTTCAGCCAGCCAAGCACACCCCAAGTTCTGCACCCATGGCTACCTCTTCCCCATGCCCATTGCTCTCGGACCTTTCCCTCATCCTTCCTATGACACAACTGCAGGTAGGTTTCTTTCCCCCTCCCCAGCAGCTCCCTGACAAAGAGATTGGGTAGAGATTCATGGTGTGTTTCAGTGGTATAATTCTCCCATTGTAAACGCATGTAGCCAAGCATGACCAACAGTTTTGTAAAGTTCCTTTACAAAATGGCCTTGCAGATGAGTGACCCAAGCTCATTGAGATGAGCTCAATGTGAACTCATTGAGATGTTCTCCCATGTCTTCTCTCCTCCAAAGCCAGCCATGCCCAGCCATGAGCAGTGCACCCTCCCACTGAGTGCTCAGCACCTCCTATGAGCAACTGAGGATGCTAAGTCCTCTCTCCCACCTTCTCACTTCCTGGGAAGAGCTGGAGGCAAAGGGTTTCAGCCCCTGAGGCCAAACCCAGACCCTGTGGGCAAGCAAGAGAAATTCTCATGGGCTGCAGGCTTGTAGCAGCTCAATGCTGACTCGTTTCCAGCGTCTGGCTTCCTGGGAGAGCTCTGGTGTTGATTTACTGCATGACAAAATAAACAAACACTGGAAAATCAGTTAAAGACCAAATTGTTAGAAGATCCACCTAAGTGACTGGCTTATTTTTAATACACCCAATACGACACAGTTGGAGAGCTCTCCTTTCAACTGGTTCCCTTTTTATTTATGTTTCTCTATATTTTCAGAGTTCTTTAATGAATCAGCTGCTGTTAGGAATTTTAATTTACTAAATTGGTGGCAGCAGCTAGAATTAATTCAATGATCTTTTTTGAAATGAATTGATTTCTTTAAATAGTGTGCATCACTCTGCCTTGCCTCCAGGGATCCAGGGCAGGCATACTGCACAAACAAACATCTTGACCTTTTCCTTAGCCTTTAGCAGTACCTTTTTTATTTTTATGTTTTATTTTTTTTATGAGAATTTAATTTTTTTTTAAAAAGCCATTTGTCAGGAATAGGATGTGAGGGAGAGCAGCTAGTTTATTTTGCTGTGCTGTGCAGCATTCCTGCCTCGGGGAACATGCCGTAGTGTAAAATGGATACGAGGGACCTGTCGACAGTTGGAAGGAGGAGCCCATTGCAGGCTGTGTGCAGCAAATATGCGGGTTAAGCAGTGGGATTTTTTCTGCTTGGGAGAGACAGGCATGATGTCTGGTTTCTGAATGATCTTGCTGATAAACACACTATTTTTTCCATACTAAATAAAGGGCCCTGGAGGCATCTGTCCCTGCCTGTCAGCCCTTGCTATGAAACCCTCTTCAGCTGCCTCTCAGAAATGCCAGTTGGGACAGGTCCCAGGAAGGTGCTGGATGGGGGGATTGTTCTGCACTGGGGTTGCATCCTGGGGTGCTATAGGGCTCTGCCTGGAGTTTCCAGGGAGACAAGTATATCTCAGCACCCACATTTATGGCAGTGGGAGCATTGGGCTCCCCTGCTGCACCAACCTTGCTGCAAAGCATTTGGACACCTGCAGAAAGCAGAAGCTTCTGTTGTTAGCATTCATTTTATTTCAAACCAGTCCATCCTCATATGCAAATGATGACAAAACAGGAGGCTGCCCAGGCGGAGGGGTTCTCCAGCTATTACCTGCTCCAGAGATAATTCTGCCTTATCTGCATCCTCTTAGGCTCCCTGAGAGAAATGGGTGACGGGAGGTTAAACATGAAAATGAATTCTGTGGTTTTGGAGAGTTCAAGATACTTATCTCTCCCTAAGTGGCTCTCCTGACAAAATGGTTTCAAATGAGTAAAACGCATCTTCTCTGTATCATTTTTCTTTCAAGTGTGAATCATTTCAGCATTACCCACTTGCTCGTGCTCAGCTTAGGTCTCTCTAGCTAGCGCTTCTGAAAAACAACAGAGTGAGATGCAGTGGTTCAAAGGGATCAGATAAATCAGGGGAATGGGGAGCAGAGTTTCAGGGACTCTCTGCCTAAAGACCACTACCTTTGGCCAGGGTTTATGGCAGTGACTGGAAGAGACTTGGCTGCTGGGAGACTGAAATTAGTGAGCTACCTCCTGTCCTGTAGCATGTGATGGACACTTTGAGCTTGCTCGGCTCTGGCTGGCATGGTGACATGAATCTACAGCAACCCTCCCCAGTTCAGTGGATGAAGAGGCAGCTGTTCTTTTACTCTGTTCTCTTACTTGGAGTCAAGCAAGGCCATTAACAGGGGAAATCATGAGCTCCTGTTTTCCCTGCAGTCCTGCTTACAAGAACTGTATTTTAAACCAGGAACCTGGCACCTTCTGTAAGTGTTAATTAAAATGGAACAAAGATGTGGTCTGATTCCATCTCTCCAAGTTTTCCTATTTTCTTTCCTTTCTTGCCAAGCTCTTCCATCCCCCACAGACACAACTAAGCACAGTGTTCTTTACTCTCACCCCCTTTTGTGGTGTACTTCCCTGGCAAATCCTTCTAACCCTTTGAACTCATTCCAATCCCATTATGTAGAGCATGACATTCAACCTGAACTTGCACAGGTTCCAGGCATATTGCACCCATGCAGCAGCCAGGAGTTAGCAGAGCAGGAGCTCCAGCTTTTCCTAACATGAGCAGCATTAGAGAGTTAAGCATGGACTGAAGCGAACTGCTTTTCCTCTCCCTTCCCCTGACTTTGCTCTTTTTTACTGTGCAGTGTACAGAGGTTTCTGGACGGCATTCATCGTGCTGGCTGTCGCCACTGGGCTGGTGGGAGGACTGCTGCTGGTGTGTGGTGTGCCCTTCGTCAGCCCTCGCTCCTACAAAATCGGAGGTGGATTCCTTCTCTTCTCGGGTAAGCTGCCAAGCTGCGGTAATGGGATACAGCCAGGGCAGGAATGTGGCCGTGCTCTGCTTTGTGCTCACAGGGGAAAGGGAGGCAGCTGGGGATGAGGCACTGCTGAGAGAGATGGGGGCTCTGATGGGAGCTGCACTGACTCAGAGTAAATGATTTCCTCCTTCCCACACTGGAATTAAACCTCTGTGCTCAGTCAAGCTTTAGCAAGATGGTCTGTAGTCCTAGAGATGCTGAGGTTTTTTACTTTCCTATGCAACACAGAGGAGCAGAGCCTTTTATTTTAGTAAAGTCCATTGCTGTGTCAACCCAATGGGCAGCAATCAGCCATGCTGTGTTCCCCTAAGTCAGTCTTTGCATTTAGGCCTCTCCTGTCTCTGCTGTTAACATCTGGTAGAGCTGGAAACTCACTGACTGATGAAAGATCTACCCGGAGATTCAAAATGGGAGGGCTGGCTTAACAAAACCTGGAAAGACAAAGCCATGGCACAGCAGGAAAATTAATTAAAATTAGGCATTTATTCATTATTCCCACTGCTGTTACAAATGCTTTTACTGAATTATCACTTGGGCTTTTTCCTTTTCTATATTTGAGAAGGAATAACTGGCTTAACTAGATTATATATATATAATATATATAATATATATATTATATAGATTATTAACTTGATTATAACAGTGTTATATTGTTATAACAGTGATGAACTCAGAAAAAATCTTTTTTGTGACTCAAGTAGCTAAAGGCTGGAGCTCAGCTGAGCCATACCAAGGAAAGAGCTTCATTCTGAAGTCAGGCCTTTCTCTGACAAAACACTGCTTAATTACAAATCCTCTGCCACGTTCTGCTTCCTCATACATGTCATGAATCAAACACGAGCCACTGCCTTTGCTCCCAGTTCGGGCTTTGAGCATTCCCAAGGTTTTTGGGGCTGAAAGCTTTCGTGAAAATATTTAGCCAGAAAGGTCCCAGCACTGACCCTGGAGGAACTCCACCTAAGCTCCTTCCAATCTCATCATGTCCTGCTATTATTATTACCTTTTACTCTTCCACCCCCCTATTTAGCTCCCATTTTATAGCTCCTTTCCTAATTTCTTCTCCTTTAGGTGTACTAACCACGTGATGCCACCTGAGCTGCTTGTTAAAATGAAGCTAGATGACATCTATCTATTTGTCTAAATAATATGGAAGGCACTAAATCAATTTGACTCTATCTGCCTCTACTAATTCACTTCTCACTTTGTCCAATTTTCCATTTGCCTCCAGGTCTTCAGTCTTGCAGTGAGGGCAGCAAGCTTATGGGTATCTGCTTATCTCTTTCTTGTATAGCTTAAGAAATGTTTGGTTGGGCTTAATTTTTCTAAGGGAAAATTCCACATGGTTTTATAAACATGGATTTTGTTTGGGAATACAGGACATCTTCCTATCAGATCTCCATCAGGTACCAATGCCTTGTAGTGAGTAGCGTCAGCCACTTGACACGTGTGTGTGCTGAAGTGATTTCTTCTTGTGAGACTAGGGCTGAATGCTTGGATCCTCTCAGATGTGACACTCTACCCACCTCATTTAAAGCCCCACCTCTTCAAAACACTCAGCTTTAGGCCCAAATGGAAAAACTGAGATCAGTCACTTTCTGACACTGGCCAGATAAGTAGAATATCCCACAGAAAAGGATGCTGAATAATATCAAATTGCTGTATTCCTTTTTTCTTTTTCTTTTTTTTCCCTGATTTTTTATTATTTTTGCACTTTATTTGACTACCTCTTGATTAAAAGGCTGGGGCACAGAATGTGACACTTTTTAGAAGAGCTGATTATGCATCACATAAACCTCTTGGCGTTAGACAAAGATGCTGCTGTTTAAATTGAAGTTTGTATTAATGCAGTTTCAATCTGAACAGCAATCATTGTTATTAACTGTCATTAGGAGGAGCGAGTTCAGCTGGAAGAGACTTCCTGCTATATTTTCAATCTAAATGATAGCTAGGAGAATGCAATATTATTTCAGCAAAGTTTGCTTAGAGTTTCACCTGATCTGTTTATTTTGCAGGGGTGGGGTGATAGGTAGGGGGATATCCTTAACCCCGACTTCTGGATCCTGCTTGGCACTGGCTTCCTGACAGACTTGGGATGCAGCCCTCCATGCTTATTTTATTACTATCCCTTCTAAAAACATTTTGCATAATTGCACTAAACACTAGGAACAATAGCTTTAACACAGCTTCACTGTCCTTTACTTCAGATAGCGGGATGTGGAAAGATGATGCAGGAGAAAGCGCGTCTTGTCTTCTAATCATGGCCTGTGGGTCAGTGTTAATTAACCTTCCTTACAGAAATGATCTCTCCTTGAGGAAGTGTGAAAATGCTGAAAATCTGTAGAGTGGGAACGTGGTCTGGCAGTCGGATGGTGAGTTGGGGAGCCACAGCTGTGAGACACCCCAGCCTCTCAGGGCATCCTTTCTATGCAACTTTATTCCGTCTATAAACTCCCCCTGTCCTTTTTGGTAGTAGCCCATGATGAGGTCATGAAATCACAGCCATGGTTAATCGTTGCAAAATGCTTCAACATTCACTACCAGAAGTCTCTATGAAGATATTATTAGTACAATTACATTCCCAACTGTATTTATAGATACGCAGCCTGACATGATCTTGAGGAGTGTGCCCCTCCTTTGCTGAGGGGAATTCAGTGCCTAAGGGTGAACATCGTTATCGCTCAATTAGTTCCCTCTAGGAAACCTTTCCAAGACAGCTTTTTTTTACAGGACTTTCAAGAGGACAAGGCTGACTGTCTGCAGCTACCTTAACAAATGTACTGCTTGGCGGGTGGTGTTCCTGAGAGCCCTTTCAAAGGACTAAAGCTATCCCCTGTGATTTCCTCTGCTGGGCAACTCAGGAAATACAGCCAGAGCCCATCTCACCTTTGCATCTGCACATCGACAGCTCCAGCTGAGGAGTTATCCTTGCCAGCCTGCTCCCAAAAGTTCTTGAATTGCATGAGCAAATAGTGTGCTGCTTCCCTTCTAACATTTACCATCTCAAACTTAGCTCCAGTGCTGCTAGGGGGAGGCACACACTGCCTGGTGACTAATCGTCCCCTTGTATCAATAGTCAGATGACAATATGATTAATTGTCATTACAATGTCACTGAGAGGGACGGGTGAATGTTGCGCTGCAGCTTCTGGAAACTGAACTGCTGAGACAACTTTGCTTGTGATCCTTGTTTTCCTGTGCTCGTGCTCCTTGCTTTTCATTTCCATTGGGCATTTTAGAGACCAAGCTTAGAAATGAGCAGAGGCTTCATCCAGACCTAGGGCAATTACTGAGCTTGCTGTGCTGCCCTAATACATTAGGACCAGCTGCACAGCTGTAGGGGTAAGTGAAAAAATGACCTGAGCTCTGCCTGGTGGCTTGCTCAGGGGTGAGGAGGCTGCTTGGGAGAGCATGTGTGTATGGTGAATTTTCAAAGCAAACAGTAAGGATGCATGTCCCAGGTAATGTTCAGCAACCAAAAGAGGAGCTTGTTATCAGCTAGCCTTCCACTGGAAAGCACAGATGATGAGCCAGGTACAGTCTAAACATCTTCCAGCTGCTGTTTCTCCAGCACTTATATGGCATGCATGGGTGTGCTTGCACTGTCCTGCAGCCACAGGATTGCTGTAGGCCATGGGCTGTTTCCAGCAGGTAAAGGCAGCACAACCCCTTTCCTGTGCTTTCAGAGCAGTGTTGTGGTGCTATGAGGGGAGCACAGTGTGTACTCAGACCAACCTGTTCTTCAGCATGAACCAACTGCATTAAAAGAAAGGCAGATTTACCAGTCTTGTGGGTTAAAATGCTGAATTTTGTGCTCAGATTCCTCTTCCCAAATCAAGCATCTCTATTTTGGCAATCTCAGGCTTCCCATGTGCAGTAAAGGCTGACAGTTATGGAGGGCAGCTGAAGGTCACCCCTCCATTTCCTCGTTATTAACATCCTGAAGAGGTAACTAGTGAGAAAGGCGAATGAGTCAAAGTTCATTATTCTTGTAATTAGCAGATTACACAGAAGTTCAGTAGCTTCCCAAGAATAAGAGTAAAAGATCGAGTTCCCTCACCTGTCCCTACAATTAGCAGCTATATAGGTGTCACAAGGATATAAAGTGAGAGAAAGAAAAAGCCTGACTCCAATTTACTCACAACGAAGTTGCAGCCCTCCTAGGAGGGGGAGATGGAGCATCGGGGTTCTTTGTCTTGCAGTTAGGAGCGTACGAAGGGGAAAGATTTAGTGCCTCACTTCATTTTTCTTGCAATTAGCCCATCCCCAGAAGATGCCATTGACCTCATCAGCACTGAGGCAGTTTTGCAGTTAATTTTTCTCCATACCATCCTAATGAACAGAGGCAAAGAGGGAAAGGGAGACAAAGAGAGAGATCACTTGGCTAATTTTCCAGTGGTAGAAACCACAAGGATGCTAGAATGAGTGTGGGGGGGGTCTGGTTAGATGCGGTCTTCACTTATGCTTACCCCAAACCTCTGTCTCAGGTATTTGTGCCAATGGCAGGTTCATTTCTTGGGTAGAAATCTAGTTGGTTTTTTTTCAGTTTTTCATTTTAATGCCCTAGACAGGAAGAAATCTGTCTCTGCACATAAAAAGCCATTTTGGGCTGGCAGGAAACAAAAATGTCTTTCCACTAAAAGTCCCCAAAAGAAGATGGTAAAGTGAGATGTATTCAAAAGATGAAAAATCCAAAATAATATCTCATTTTACTTAAAAAATGCCCAAAACTTGCTCTAGTAATATGGGAGTGAAACATCCTGATATTCTCATTATGAAGAGCCTACTAATGTCTGGAAGCACGACAAATTTTAGGCAGTTTCATTAATAACTGTGATTGTTCCAACTAAGCTTTTTATTTTGACGAACAATTTTTCAGTGAGATGCCCTTTCTACACTTCCACCATCCTTCTTTGGCTGCACCTGCCCTTTTGATTTCCTTTTCTTGCTGCGGGGATGGTGTAAATCCCAGGGACTCCTCACCACTGAGCTGTAATTATTCCGGGAAAGAAGGCTGCTTACTTTACATTTTCTTGTCATTTTCCCAGAGTGTGAAAATGTTCTTAATTTAGATGCCATGGCTGTGCCATCACCTCCAGTACCTGTTTAATAATAAATCCTTCCATACTTGAGACCTGAAGCTTCTCCTGGAGAGAAGGGAGGGACTGTTTCCCCATCCTTAGCTCCTAGTGAGCTTGGGGATGGTGACACCAGCTCATGGGGTTTCCTTTCACCCTCCTCACTAAGAACTGGTAGGTCTTAATGTGATTGGTTTTTCATAAATGAGGTTTAGGCCATCTAAATTGTCCTGGGATAATTAAATGCAAAATCTGTGGTTATTTAAAGACAGGTAGGAGAATTCAGAAGTATCCTGCAGTATCTACATCCTCTGTCCCATGGGGCTATGGTTTTATTTGTGTCTCTTATGGTAGGTATTATAAGTTAATGAAATAGAAATTGATCTTTAAAAGAGCACTTTTCAAGGTTCAGTTGCTATCTAATTAATTTAATTTTAAATTACATCAGTAATAAAGACTTAATTGCCTTCTTATCAATATATTGTCTTTCGTAAAGGACATGTGACTGTTTAAACACACAATCGTTTTCTTATAGTAGAATAATTGGTATTTTAAGCGTACAACTATCATATTAAGTGTAAAATATTTATTTGTGCGTTTAATTTCAAGTGGTTTTGAAATCTCAATGAACATGCAAATGTTAGAACAGCTGTTATTTAACTCCTAGGCTGCCTCTCCAGCAAATAGGAGGACTTTTCCATGTAAGGGAGAAGGGCTTGAAATATCAGCGTGTGGTGATGTAAAGTATGTTCATATGGTGACACCAATTTTTGATTCTTAGGGTTCATTTTGCAGTTTTAGGGTATAGGAAGCAGTTTATCAGACATGACAGCTTAGAATGGGTAGCTTCAACTTTTATATAGCATGCAGGAAGGACTTTGAACCCTGTATACCTTCCCGTAAGTCTCATTTTTGGCTACAAGTTGCAAAAATGAGCTTTGTAGTAGCAGATGCATTTATACCCATTATAAGCAGAAACACAGCCAAACAGTGATGTGTTTTCTCTGACTGAGGTTTCAGTAACTGCTATCCCTGACCTGATATACCAATGTCAAGCTTTACCCATTTCCTTTGCTTAGCACAGGAGCTGGATTTTTGTAGTGTATAAGCTGCTGGGAAGAATAATTAAATATAGTACAAGCTACCTTTGATTTAAAAATTGCAAGGGAAGAAACTAAATCCAGCAGAAAGCTAAAGCACAGAACTGTGTGTTAACTATTTAACTAAATTGATTTTGAACTGTTCACTTCTACTATAAACATATTATAATCTGTGATGTATTTCTTTCATATATGTGTGTGTATGTGTGTATATCTATATGTTATATGGCACCGCTTAAAAAAGGCAAGCTTCTAGCTGTGAAGTAGCAAGATCAGATATTACTGAAGTGCGTTCAGAACTGTCATCACACTGTCACTATTTAGTTTTAATATATGTTGACTTTAAAATGCTCTCTCTATATTCTTTATTATGACACAGTAAATAATATTAGGGCCACTCTAATTTTTGTTATCTGCTTCATACGGGGGAGCTAGACCTGCAGCCTCTGATCACCATCACTTTGAATTATGGGGAAACAAGGTTCCCATTAAGGCACCAAAGCCCCTAAACCTGCCATGGGCTGCTCTGGGTCCGGGAGGTGCCTGTTCACCACGTGCTTTTCAGATGTGGCTGAGTTCTTCCTGCAAATGCTGACCTTTGATGGGTATGCATCTGGAAATGTGAGATCACAAGGTCTCACAGGAGATCTGCTATGTGGGTTACAGGCATCCTACAGGCCTGGGAGGCTCTGAGGAGAGCAGACCCTCTCTAAGTGAGATGCTGACCTTGCACTCACTGCTCAGGCTTCAGTGTGGCCTCAGCCTTTCTCGTGTCTGATTTGAGGGGAGGGCAAAAGAGTTCTCACCAATAAAAAGACTTTTTTGCCTCCTGTTATAAGGTAATTATTACTCTTTTTATTATTTTGTTGTTTAGTAGCTCATCTGAGATTAGTATCTTATGGCTATATGCCTTTTCTACTCTATTATGCATTATTTCTTTGCAAAACAAGATCACCAGTACTCCTTGTCATATGTTCTAATACTTGGTTGCAAAGCTCAGTTTAAGGAAAGGTGAGACAAGACATAAAGTGGAGCTACCACAAGCTGCAGCAGCTGCTCGCTGCCTGTGCAGCCTGTGTTTGCTCCAGTAGCAGGTCTGGTGTAGGATAAGTCTTGGCACCAGCAGGATTGATCCACATATCTTTGCATTTCTGGTTGAAATTGGATCTGACACTAGTTTGTAGGGTAGGTACAAAAAAGGAGGAAACGAGTCTCAGTGTCTCCTTCTCACTTATCTCAGACAAAAATATAAAGGCAAAACAACCCACTTTTAAGACAGGAATGCAGAGCTAGCCTCACACAGCTGTGAAAGTCAGCCATGTTCAGGATGATATCTATATGATCATGTCCAGCTGTAACAGCCCTCAGTAGCACTGGTGGTTAAAGCAAGAGGTGTTGGTGCACTGGCAGCTGTGCACAAGCTGGTCGTGGTGGTGTGGGTTTCTCCCACGGTGAGTGGGCTTGCCTTTCGCAGGAACTTGTATAGCAGTATCATGGATAATAATTCTGCAACACTAAGCTTCAATGCAGAGGACCTGCAGGAATAAATGGAAATCCATTGTCATCTTTTCTCCATTTTATTTCTATGTTCTATGTACAGAGAATAACTCATCTTTGTCTCTCTTTCCAGGAGGCTTATTTCTCCTGCTCATATTTCTCTTTGTGATATGGAAGGAGTTCGCCGCTGATTTTCAGAAGTACATCCTTCTGGAGAGGAGTGAGAAGTGCATGGATGATGTACCCGTGCATGTGTATTACGGGTGGTCATTCATGTTTGCCGCGGCAGGTGTTCCCCTGGTTTTACTGTCAGGACTTGTCTTCTACTTGGTTGGCAGAGACATTATGAAGTCGCTGGAGTAAGACAAATTTGGAGGTCTTTCTTTGAGAAAATTGGTGATGCTCCTTGTAATGAAACACACACAAGATTTGAGGGCTAGATTGGTTTTGTAGCTATAATTGTCAGCATAGATACATGACTACACTCACTCTTGCATGGAGGCAGGGATGGAGCACTGAGCATCCAATCACTGTCAGTCCAAACCTAGACCCAGCTGAACATCCAGCCTCAGCATTTTCACACTTTGGAGAAATTTAGGTATGTCTATGGGTTTTGCATCAGTTTGAAGCCCAAGGAAAAGCCTGTGCTGTTAAAAGCAGATTCCCTCAGCTGTCAGCAGAGCCCTACATCCATACTCAGCAGAGCTGGAGTTTTATGGTGTTCCCAGCATCCCTGTTTCTTGTAAGAGGTAATCGAATCTGGCTGCAATGGTGTACACTCTAATGTCTATTTCTGAAAAGCAATTAAAGATGATTTTTTTCTTAAGCTGGCTCTAATTGACGTCAAAGGACAACCATTTTAATGGGATATCGGGAAGCATGAGAAATTCTTTTCATTAAAAGCCCTGATTCCAAAGATACAAATGTACCTGGGCCTAACCTAACTCTGAACAAGTGAATAAACCAATTTCTATGGCATGAAACATAACATGAATAAATTTGTATTTCTTTACAGCACCACATTACTCTGCATTTAATATTTTCCCTGGATGCAGTGTTGCAGGGATTCTCAACCCCAAAAAGGAAAGATGATTAGAACTGGGGGAAAGGGAGAGGAAACAATAATGCTGTTATGGGGTAGACCCTGTCAGCCAGCTTAGCATGGGACCTTGTATTCTACAGACACAGCACAAAAGTCAGCTCCAAAAAGACAAACTCTATACCATTTAGATATTTTTAAGTTCTTGCAGGTTCTTGGGTGTCTGACAGATTGCAGTGGTCCTGTGAAGAGTAATGCATGATAATCCAAGCTATCGAGGTACACCAAGCTATTGAGGTACAGGTGAAGTAATTTATATCGTGTATGCAGAAGTTTGTGAAGACACTCGAGAAATGATAAAGATTTGATCTTTTCATGTTTTTCAGGCTGGATTTTGATGCTTTGAAGTAGTTTGTTGGGCCCTTGTTTGCTGAACTCTTTTGCATAAATTTTAAATCACACTTCCTAAAAATGCCTGTTCTCATGCATGTCATAGTTTGTGATGAACATATATCTCCCGAGCTTTATGTCACACTATTGACTCAATATGGTTAATTAATAATGTAATGTAAATCTCTTCTCAAAAGCAATGAAGACTGTTGACAGTATAAAAATGTTTGTTAATGCTCTTCCTAAAATATTGTTCAAGTCTGGCATTTCTTTCTTTTTGGAGCAAGTTCTAATTATTCCTTTACAAGATTCATGGCATACATTGAGAGAAAAACTGTAATTTCCACATGTAAAGATTAGTTCTTTCATATGAATAACAGGCTTGGTCTACAGTTCTTAAGCAAAATTCACACTGTTTTCCCTTAGTAGAAATTTTGTTCGGATAGAATTGGTATATACAGGTGAAAATTGTGTTTTTTTTCCCAGTCAATACATTTTTCATGACATTTACAAATTTAGAGATATATTTCAGTATTTTGGCCATTTCAAACTTTCTTTGGTTTTGGTTTTGTTTTGTTTTTTTCTTGACATCTCCTTGGGCTATGCCTGTGCTCCATCAGTTCTTCAAGTGATAATTTCTCACTGTAAATTCCCTTTGAATACTTTTTGTCATTTAATTATCTATTCAGTGTAGAGATGAACACTTATGGTCACAAAGAATAAAAGTATATAATCCAGGAGCAGAGGGGGTCAAGATTTACAGTCACTTGCCTTTCACTGATCCCATAAAACAATCCAAGCATGCAGAAATGATGATCCCATAAGAGACACCAGGGCAGAAGAATGAGAATGCAGCAAGAAATACATCAGACTTATTGATATCTGTGAAGCTAAGGATCCCTGAAGTTGTGAATATAGAAGTGAGTTTTATATTATAGAATGAAATATTTATTAACTTTCTCCATCTGTTCTTTAAAAAATTTCGTTTAATGTCGTCAAGGCATTTATGGAATACATTTAGCTTAATCATGCATTCATGCCTTAGGGAGTAAACCATCCCTGGAGACTTGCTCATTCTGGATCAGCTCTAGAACAAGCAATAGTTTAAAACTCCATCATTCTTTGGAAGAACACATGAATTTGAATCACTCTTGAAGAGGGTTTGGATTTAAAAAGCCTACAACCTCTGGTATTGAGCATACTCAACAGTCACAACAGCAAGGATGCAGAGAATGAGGTAATACATGAGCATGTGTAAGGTAATTAACTCTATTAAAATGCAGTGTTTGTAGCCAGCACAGGTGATAACCAAACACATCATTTTGGTAGACTAAAGAGTTTAATGCCTTCGCTGTCAAGTTTCTTGTGGCAAATACAGCTTAAGCAGGCAAGATTTTGTGTGAGATTCATCATTTCTGGAGGAGAAATTTCAAAAAACAAGCTAATGGACTCAGTGGTAGGGTTTGAAATTGCAGAAACCACGGTGTCTTTCATCTGTTGAATGTGAAGAAGTTTGATGAAAGGATATTATAGAGTAGTGACAAGGACCTAATTCTGATCCAAGTTTTGTCATTATAAATCATGAGTAATTCCAAAGATGCAGTAGACCCTTATCACTGTTAAACATCTGTAAGTCAGATCAGAACCGGGACTAATAAATACATTCAAAAATGCATAATTAAAACAGTGATTTCACATCACTCTGATGAATTTTAGTCAAGGATTTCTTCAAGGATGCTTTTCTCACATTAGCATTTGACGTTAGTAAGCAATGAATAATTCCATTTTTTCTTTCCAACATCTGGGACACTTCCTGCTTTATTTGCTACTTACAGAACACTCTGCAAGAAATATTAATGAATCTTGGGTGTTAAAATACAGGCTCTATGGATCATGCTTGGGAGGCAGTACTATGTAGTAGAGTCTTGAAATTAAGAGCCTTGATTTTGGTGAAGTAAGATATTGGGAGATTTGCAAAACCTGAAGGAAATACAAGGAATTGAGGAGGTTACCCAAAAGCCAACCCCCTGCAGCTTCTTTGTTCAACTGTTCCCTCACACCAAAGAGACCACAATGAATGATAAAAGTTTTTCCCCTTGGTCAGATCAACCTTTTGATTTAATTCAGAAAACTATCACCCAAAGATGCCTAAGACTGGGAAGGTGCTAGGTAATGGGCACCAACCCCAAGGAGAGATGGACCAGGAGACTGTCTTGGCATGGCAGCATCACCGCCACGTTCAGCTGCTTTCTCACACTCTTTGAGGCCTGGAGCTTTTCCCCTTTCTTGGTAAATTATGTGGCAAAACTCCGTGTTTGGAGAGGTGTGCTGACTCTTCCAAGCAACCTTCAGAGGGGAGCTGAACTTGAGCACCAGAGGCAAGAGAGCTTCCGAAGGAGGCAAGAAACATCTTTCTGTCTAAGTGCAGAGTGACCTAGGCAGTTCAACATCTTACCAGGAGGGTGAAAGCATCCTCTGCAATGGAAAACAGGTTGATTGGAACTTAACCAAAATTCATTTCAGCTAGATATGTAATAGACTCTCTGGGATTGCTTGCTAGACAGGTAGTGTTTTCACCTTGGTTAGACATACTTCTACTGCATTTGTGGGCTCATATAACAAAATGTAAAAGCCTGCAGGACAAATATTTCCATCTGGGTTGCTCCCCCAAGGCTCCTTGTATCAACCAGGCATCACCAGTGCTCAGGACCACTCATCCTTGCAGCCAGCCTATGCAACGCAATGGAAGAATGTTAAGCTTTACATCTCTGTGGAAGATAACCAAGGAATAGTTCCATGGCCCCTGCCCTGCAGGCTTCTGTTGGGCAGCCCAACCCTTATGCTGCTGAGTCAGCACCTTCTGAAGTGCCTCTAGTCACTCATCCTGAGCAAACACTGCCTGGGGAAACACTGGTGGGAGAGGACACAGATGTGGTTCAGCAAACTAAGACAAAACCAAGATTCAAATAAATAAGAAACTACAAGCTAGCTCCATGCCTTGTGCACCGGGCTGTACATTACTGCAGGATTAAGTCATATCAGCCAGAGTACATTTCACAAGAGTGCACAGCACCTCAATCCTATAATCAATAAGTTGTACATGCTGCAGCACAAAGAGCTCTTATCTGGAATACCACTTTGAATTTAGGGAATTTATTTAATCCCTGATGCCTGCAGAGCATCAGTCCTCTCTTCTGGGTTAATTTATTTATTCCAGTGATGTATTTTTAGTCTTTCAAGTACTTGACATTTGAGAAGCAGCTCTTTTCCCTACTCCCTAAAAAAAATCTGAATTGGAAAAACTTTACTTACAGAAATGTATTTGTTTCCTAACTCACTCCCCACTCTTTCTTTTGGGAGCCCTGTTATCAATACTAATAGCCATACACTGAATGTATGGTTCCTTTTCACTCTGCTTGGCAAAGCCCGTTTCTAAGCCAATGCTGGACATTCAGTGATTTTCTCTCTTTCTTGTCAGCTTATTTTTTTCCCTATGAATATTCTGTCTTCATCTAAAAGGAAAAAAAGTCCCCTATTTTTGAGGTATATACAAGATGCTGTGCTGTGTGTAGTTTGGGAATGGTCGCGAGTGCAGGTGATGCTCTTGTCTTCTGGAGCTTGGTGTTTCCAAGTATGATCGCATGAGCCATTCGCTGAACCCAAAAGAACCAATGGTTTAAACAAGTGTGACTACATAAATGCTTACTGTTACAAAGAAATAACAAATGAAAAAATAGTCTCTAGCCACTGCTGTGTGGTGGAGTGGTGATTATTATCAGAGCTGTGAAGAATGCACTCTAATTAACCCAACCGGAAGGTACTAAACATTTGGTTATGGAAGAGGTGATTGACGCTTTATAAGCCTCAGCATCTGCAAAAAAGAAAAAAAGTCTCACCTGACCTTGTCTGACTCAATTAATGATGGCTTCATAAAAGCTAGAAAAAATAAAAATATAGTAGCACAAAGGGCAATTGTGTGAAAAACAGGGTTAGTTCTATTTTCCTTATCCATTTCCAGTATTTACCAGTGTGGCTTACGTTAAAAAAAAGGCAACAAATGCTGATAAGAACCACTCCTAGAATACAGACATTATCCTGGCAAAATATATTACCTGTCCTCAGAAATATTTTTGTAGAGCCACAGAACATAATTGGTTTTCCATTTCAGATGTTGTGAGAAATCCTTCATACTTTTCTTCTCTTTAAAAACCAGTCTGTGGGAGAAGTTGTTCATCAAACCATTGAGATAACATAGGCTGAACTGGCTGCTTTAAGGTCTAAAGCTTTTATTACTGATTAAACCTCATCGGTTACAGGCTGCAGCAATTGTTGCGCATGGTGAATAAGTGCAGCTCATTCTGAAATAGAGGCATCAATTTTGCACCTGTTCCTGCCAAAGAAAAAAAGTAGGGAAATTTAACAATTTAGACAAATCAGCCACTAAATTAATTCTACTGTTTGCTGAGGTGGAGCCTTGGCAAAAGATCATTTCATACACAAGCAGAGATGCTGCCTCTGAAACGGCACACCTTGCTTCCCAGAATCAAGTTTGTTATGTC